GATTGGCTCTCTAGAAAAATCTGAAGACTTCAATTATGAGATCCAGGGAGGAAAGCCCGGTGAATCCCCTAGGATCAAAGATGGGAACCATTCCTTCAACTAGCTATGTGCAGCTCCAGGAGAGGTAGCTATTCTCATAGGTCACTATGTCTAAGAGGAGTAACAATGTGGGGCTGAGGACACCCCAATTCCATTGGGACTTTAGAACAAAGAAGCTTCTGCACCTTACCCCATATTAAAGAACTTGTCATCAGCAGCCTAATAGAGAAGACATTTCTCCTTATCTTACACTGCCTGTCAATCTCCCTAGTCCAAAAGACCCCAATGCCTAGTGCATATATCCTCCAAACTAAGCATTTAAAGAGTAGACATTATTTTAAAAGGGATCAAAGCCATTGAAGTAAGAAGACAAATCCCAACAACTAGAACAAAGTAGCTTTAAGAAGGCAAGATACAGTTAGAATTCTTTTTTTTTTTTTTTTTTTTTTTTTTTTTGAGACGGAGTTTCGCTCTTTGTTACCCAGGCTGGAGTGCAATGGTGCGATCTCGGCTCACCGCAACCTCCGCCTCCTGGGTTCAGACAATTCTCCTACCTCAGCCTCCTGAGTAGCTGGGATTACAGGCACGCGCCACAGTGCCCAGCTAATTTTTTGCATTTTTAGTAGAGACAGGGTTTCACGATGTTGACCAGGATGGTCTCGATCTCTTGACCTCGCGATCCACCCGCCTCGGCCTCCCAAAGTGCTGGGATTACAGGCTTGAGCCACTGCGCCCGGCCCTACAGTTAGGATTCTTAAGGAGATATTGTGAAAGCATAAAAATATACTTGTGGTACTTCATGCATGATTTCAGAATTTTAAGATTTAACAGAGAAGGTTTAAAACAAGAGTATGTTTAAAAATTAGGTAGAGGAAGCAACCCCAATACACAGCAAAAAATACAAAAAATTGAAAATCGTTAAGTAAAATGGTAGGAGACATGAAAGACATACGTAGGCAATATATTATGGAAGTGATAGTTTCAAAAGGGGCACAAGAAACAGATGGAGGAGAGCGATAGGAAGTTAGAATTAAAGATGTTTTACTGAGGTTAGAAAAGACATGAAACTTCATATGAAAAAGATGTACTGTGTCTTAAATAGGAATGATTTTCAAGTGACACACACTAGACATGGCCTGATGAAATTACATAATTAAAAAAAAAAAACTGTTTGTAAACTTCTTGTGGCAGCCATGAAAATGTGGCAGCTTCTCAGATCTCCTGATGCAGAGAACATAATTAACTGATGGCCCCATCTGCAGTCCCTCTGAATCCACCACTAAGTTTATGCGCAAGCTATGCTTCCTGCAGGCTGCATGCAATAACTAAGCATGGCAGGGATCCTACAGTAGGCTAATCCTGCAAGATATGGGACTCTTCCAATGGACAACTTCGTCTTGAGGGCATCCCACGGGCCTGGCCAAAGCTTCCTTGGAAGTGTGCCACAGTCAGAGATGACTCCAATCTAATTCTTCTCCTTTCCCTCTCTCCTTCCACAGGTTTCAGATCAACATCATGATCTGAAGGTTCTCCCAGGCTTCTCCTGCTCCCGTGCCAATAAGTCTCCTACATATCTAATCCAATCTTTGCATTGTCTTGGCAGACCTGAACTAACATAGTCATGGATGGATGGATGGATGGATGGATGGATGGATGGATGGATGGATAAACTGAGATCTATATAAAGTGTGTGTGTGTGTGTGTGTGTGTGTGTGTGTGTGTGTGTGTCTACAGTGGTCCCCCTTTATCCACAGTTTCACATTCCATGGTCTCAATTACTCAAGTTACAGTATAATAAGATATTTTGAGAAGATCATATTCACATAGCTTTTATTATAGTCATTGTTATAATTTTTCTAGGCTCTGATTAGTAATTGTTGTTATTCTCTACTGTGCCTAATTTGTAAGTTAAATTTTATCATAGGTATGTATATATAAGAAGAAACATAGCATATATAAAGCTTGGTGCTATCCATGATTTCAGGCATCCACTGGGGGTCTTGCAGCATATCCGCTGTGAATAAGGGGGGACTATCTCATGCATAATTCTGTGCATGTATGCATGTACGTATGTATCTAGACATAGTTTTGCATGGATCTCTTCTAAGTCTTAGACTGAAATTGAGACTAAGACTTCTCATATGCAATACTAGTACTCCAAGACACTAAATTATAATTTTTAGATTCTTGAGAGAATAAATGATATTCAAGCAAATGATATATTCTGCCAAGACATGAAATTTAAGGGCTGGCTGACGTAGCTACTCATGATGCTCACAAAATCCCCAGTTGTTTACCTTCCATGCACACAGAGAGACTGGCATTTCTCTACACATCTGCAATTTGACATGGTCATGTAGCTTTTTTTGTCCAATGAACTGTGAATGAAAATGAGTCTGAAACTTGTGGGCAGTAATATTTACTGGTGGCATGAGACTTTCCAGCACCTTCTCCCCTTGCCGTTGTGATCTGGGAAGCTTGCATTGTTACAGAGAGAAACACTGAGCTATCACGTAGAGGATAATCTCCCTGATGACCTCTGAGACCAGCAGCAAACTTGGTATGAGCAAAAAAGAAACTTACTCCTTTTTTGAAGGCTTTGAAATTTGACTGGTTCTGCTTCCTGCAGTACAAGCCAGTCTACTCCACTAACACAAAAGCAAAGCCACAGGGAAAAAAATGTAAGCTCCATGAGAGCAAGGACCTTGACTGTTCTCTGTCACAGCCCCTTTGCCCAGACGCAGCATGAATTATTGCTGTATACATTGTTGTTGCTGCTGCTGCTGCTGTTATTAAAGAAATTTTCAGACATTGAAGAATTCAAAGAGTATGTGCCCATACCTCTAGCTGAGGAAATTACTTGAGGAAGAACTCTGGCCAAATGAAAACTCAATAAACCAAAGTCTCAAGATAGGAAAGATGACAAATACAAGAAAGAATGGTGAGCAATAAATCTTGTAGTAATTCCTGGTTAAATCTAAGAGAATGATGAATGCTTGACTGGGAATTGTAATATGAGTTAAGTAAGGATTATTGAAACAGAAGAGGCATATTAAGAAAATATGGGATAATAGCATCAACATTCTGAATTTACTCAGCAAAACCAGAAAGTATACATGTGTGAGAGAGCGGGGCGGGGGGCAGTGGTGGGCTGTGGGGGAGATTCCACAAGGGAGTAGGAAAATGAAGAAGTTAAAACATTTAAAGCCTTCATCACTGTGCAGAGCACATGGCCAAGCAAAACAATGGGGCAAGGGGAAGAATTAGGGAGAGTTATTGATTTAGCAACGGAGAAGTATTTGACTGTAAAGATGGCTAACATCTGCAATGATTAATGGATGGCCTATTGTTTGATTATTCATTCAACATATAGATGATTGAGCATCCAGGATATGCCAGGTATGCTGGAGATACATCAGTAAATATGTAAGTAAATAAAACAGAGACGGTTTATACTCTCATTCTCAAGAGGGAAGACAAGCAACACACAAGTAATCAAACAAAAACAACATCATGTTGGGTGGTGATAACTTCCATTCCTGTTCCTCAGCTGAAACTTTAGGAAAGAATAAAAATTAAGCTATTTCTAGATAAGGAGAGTATGGTATTCTCTAGGCAGAAAATAAAATGGGCAAAAACTCTAAGTCAGTGGTAAGCTTCATATGTTCAAGCAATCAGAAGGTCAGATGAACAGTAGCACGTGCGTGTGTGTGTGTGTGTGTGTGTGTGTGTGTGTGTGTTCATTCCTGAAGGTGCCAGGTCATTATAGAACTTTATGAGGCTGAGTAAAATATGAGACTACCCTAAGTATGCTGGTAAGCCACTGGGAAGTTTTAAGAAGGGGAGTGTTATGAACTGATTTGTTTTAAGAATATCACCGGCTGACATGTAGAAAAACAGCAAAGGGTGGGCAAGGGTGAAAGTGAGACACCAGTGGGAGGTGACGGTGGCTTGAACCAGGGTAGTGGCAGCGGGCATAGAATGTTAAGGGCCAGATTGGAAGTCACCTGAAGACACAGCTAACTTTCTGATGGATTAGCTGTCATAGGTGAGGGGAAGGGAAGGATCAGAGTTTACTCAACAGTGTTGCCTTGAGCACATGAGTATATGAGCACTTCCTTTCTGGTCCTCAGCAGTTATGAAACCATTGAATAGATGATGAGGAAGCATGAGGAAATGAGAGGGGGATGGGTATGTTCATGTTGATGGTTTCACCAGTGTGTATGTCTCAAAATTCACCAAACTGTACACTTTCAATAACGCAGGTTATTGTATGTCAGTTATACCTCATTAATGCTTCTTTTAGAAAAAGGAAGAGAACAATTTCTGCTTTATCTCCCTAGGTGGTTGTGTCCCTATAATTAAATAATTATTAAAACACTTGAAATAATGAAGATGAGACAAATGAAAAGACTTGGAAAGAACAGATTGGAGGTTGCGGGGCAGGCTGTAAACAAAGCTATGGTTTGGGCAAGTTCAGATCGAGATTCTTCAACATCCCAGAGGAAAGGTGAAGAACATATTTGGATATGTGAGCTTAGGAAGAAGTCAGGGATCAAGGTGAACATTCACAGAGAGGAGACACCTGAAGCTAAAGGAAGTACTGAGGCTACTGTATGTAAATAAGCTGCATATACAGTCGTGCATCTATTAACAACAAGGTTACATTCTGAGAAATGCGTCATTAGGTGAGGTAGTCATTGTTCAAACATCACAGAAAGCACTTACACAGACCTAGGTGGTATGGCCTGCCACTCACCCAGTGTGCTTGTGTGTGTGTGTGTCCTATACGTATGTGGCATAGCCTATTGCTCCTAAGCTACAATCCTGGACACCATGTTACTGTATTGAATGCTGTAGGTAATTGTAAAACAATGCTAAGTGTTTATGTATCTAAACATATCTATACCTGGAATGAGCGGAGTCAAAATATGGCATAAAACATTAAGAAACTGGCACACCTGTACAGGACACTTCCTGTGAATGAGCTTGTGGACTGGCAGTCGCTCCAGGTGAGTCAGTGATTGAGTGGTGAGCATATGTGAGGACCTAGGACATTACTGCACACGTGTATACAACTGGCAACACAGTAGCTTTGTTTACATCAGCATTACCACAAACAGGTGAGAAATGTGTTGTGCTATGACTTTATGATGACAACAATGTCACCAGGCAATAGGAATTTTTCAGCTTCACTATAATCTTAGGGGACCACCATCATATATGCAGTCCATTGTCGACCAAACATTGTTTTTTGTCTGGAGCTTCATACATGGTATGTGCTTAATAACTGGTTCCCGCGCCTCTTCTGGGGATGGTTGAAGGTAGCCTCTTAGAATTAACACTGGACTGAGTGACAGGAGACTAGCACTTCCTTTCTGGTCCTCAGCAGTTATGAAACCATTGAATAGATGATGAGGAAGCATGAGGAAATGAGAGGGGGATGGGTATGTTCATGTTGATGGTTTCACCAGTGTGTATGTCTCAAAATTCACCAAACTGTACACTTTCAATAACACAGGTTATTGTATGTCAGTTATACCTCATTAATGCTTCTTTTAGAAAAAGGAAGAGAACAATTTCTGCTTTATCTCCCTAGGTGGTTGTGTCCCTATAATTAAATAATTATTAAAACACTTGAAATAATGAAGATGAGACAAATGAAACATATGCTGTTGCTGGTGACTTTTTGCTCATTATCAATAGCTACTGCTTTATTTGGGAGTGGAGAGTAAGAGCTGAAAGGTGTGTGAAAGAAAATTATGAACATTTTCCTGAGAAAATGACAAGGTGAATGGCAGATGGGAAAGGAACTCTATTAGTCAGAGTTCTCCAGAGAAACAGAACCAACAGGACATTTATGTAGGGGTGTGTGTGTACACATATATACACATACGGAGAGAGCGAGATTACTGTAAAGAATTGGCTCACATCATTATGGAGGCTCACAAGATCCAAGATCTGCCGTCAACAAGCTGGAGACCCAGAAAAGCCTATGGTGTGATTCCGGTCTATATGCCAGCAGGCTCCAGACCCAGGACGAGCAGATGTTTCAGTTTGAGTCCAAAGGCAGGAAAGAACCAATGTCCTAGCTTAAGGCAGTCAGGCAAAGGGGTTTCCCCTTACTCAGCCTTTTCATTCTATTCAGGCCTTCCGCTGATGGGCTGAGGCCCACCCACATGAAAAAGGGCAATCTGCTTTCTCAGTCTGCCAGTTCAAATGTTGATCTCATACAAAACACCCTCACCAACACTCCCAGAATAATGTTTGAACAAACATCTGCATACTTCACTGCAGTCCAATGAAGCTGACACATAAAATTAACCATCACTGGGACGATTATTTATTGAACTCCTATTTACAGCAAACCTCTATTGTCATTATTATTCTTTTTACAAAGGAACAAAGAGGTGATGCCATCTGCCTAAGAACACAGAGCTGCCCAAAGGACAAAGTTGGATTTGAATCTCATTTCATCTGAGTCTACTGTACTAAGCTTCCCTTCTGAGAATCCAAAACTTTGGAGCTCAGTGAGACTTTACAGATGATCCGGACCCTGTACCTCTTGATCCAGTAACACAAGTGACTGAGACAGCTGAATCTGCAGCCCCTGCCTAGAGCTCCTCCTGCCTTGCCAAATTGCCCCTGCTGGGCCTGGCTGTTGGTTGGAATCTGATTCCATCTCTGGCCATTTCTTCCAGCCTAGCCTGCAAGAGGGAAAAGCCTACTCAGGGATTATGTTCTGCCCTCAAGGCCTCCGAAGCACCAGTGAATGTTTCCACAGGTGACCTCCATTCTGCCCCTCACCATTCCTGCCCCTCCTTCCTGGCTGCCCTGGTAGCAGAAGCCCAGATATTTCACAAGCAGCCAATTAACACCTTTTTTCCTCCTTAATGGAAAAAGTGATGCTCAGACTTCCTGAATTCAGGGGTGTGAGGCTGCCTGATGGGTCATCTCCTTTCTTGGGGGCCAGTCGCAGTTTAGAGAAACTCATTTATTTAAGGCTGTAAATGGCTAGATTCCTAAATCCTCGTGGGCTCCAGAGAAGAGATGAGGAGGAGAGAAAGGAGTCGGGGAGGGGAAGAAGATAAATGCTTTGAGGAAAGGGGCTTCCCCAGAAAAATTCTTTCCGTGATAACACCAGCCAGTGTGCATTGAGTGCTGACTGTCAGCCACTACTCTACTGCCTCAGATTATCTCAGTTATCATAGTCACCAACAAGGGAGGACCTCTTTTTACCTCTATTTTAGTAATAAAGAAACTGAGGGACAGAGGTGTTGTGTAAGCACCCAAGGCAGCACAGGGGAAGCCTAGTAGAACTTAGGTTTTTACCTCTGGCAGTTCAATCTCAAAACCTGTGCACTGTTTCTGTAAACATCAGTTTACAGTTTATAAAGTGTGTTTTCATCAACTACCTCATTTGATTTTGACAACATGCCTGTGGATTAAGATTTGCTCTCTGCTAGGGCTTTCTTCTATGTAAAATGAAATTCACAGGGTAGAGAGACAAGTCTACCAAATGAATCAATGCCAGACCAGGGAGATACTTGTTTATTCATTCAAAAAAAATCTTTATCAAATGCTTACTATGAGCCTGGCATGGTAACAGTAAGTTATACCTCAACAAAAATAATAAGATTTTAAAATAAGATGAAAAAGGTCAGATTATGTAATTGTCTATGTCCCCCGCTGGCATGGAGTTCCCTTTTACTGGAGGGAGGGGCCGCCTTTTTATTCTATTCAGGCCTTCAACTGATTGGATGAGGCCCATCTGCATTAGGGAGGGCTGTCTGCTTTACTCTGCCTACAAATGCAAACACGAATATTATCCAGAAACTTCCCCACAGACACATCCAGAATAACATGTGCTGTATACTATATAATACGTACTAGCAGGGTCATAGGCAAGTACAGTACAATCTGGCTTTTTTATTTTTTATGGAGGCATAACTTAATGCAGTCAGGTAAGTATGCAGATCAATAAAGGTTAAATATGAACATATTATATACATATATGCAAAATACGTTGAGGCAGTAACTACCCTCTGAATCAAGATATAGACTACTGCCAGTACCACAGGTGGCTCCCTAATGTGAAGGGTCACCATTATTCTGACCTCTTTCACTGTGGATTTGTTTTGTCTGTTTTTGACCTTCATTTAAATGGAATCCTACAGTGTACATTCTCTCATGTATGACTTTTCTCACTTGACATTCATCCATGTTGCCTGTATCATCGTGTGTTCTTTTACTGCTGTGTAGTATTCTAGTGCATAAACACACAACCTGTTGCAGGTTCGTCCTCTGTGAAGTTGACTCTGAGATGGAGATTAGCATGCAGGATAGTCATTAAGAAGTGTCCTTAGGATGGATCCCTGTGGAAGGGAAGAACAGAAAACAGGGTTAGAACAGAGAGAAGTCAAGAACTCAGTGCAGACCCAAGGACCACCTCAGCTGACACCACAGAGAGCTCTGAAGCTAAAATGGCCCACCTTAGTTCTTCCATATGGAGCAGAATGGCTGAATCAGTCATAGGGTATATATCAATTTATACTCTCACCAGTAGGTCCCTTAAGTTTTAGCAATTCACATGGGTGGGTGTTTAGTGGTATCTCATTATGGTTTTTGATTTTCACTCATTTCCTTGACTGACTAAACACATAGCCACCAGAAGCCTGCCTGGTCAGGGCAGAACCAAATTTGAACTCAAGGTAGTTGATTCTGAAGACACCATGCTTCTCCCCATACATCATGTTTCCTCCCTCCACCCCAGGAAGTGTCTACATCCAGAGACCAAACTATTTTTGAAGTAGCAGTAGTCACTGACTTGAAACCTGCTGGGTATATGGTTGTATGGTGTGTATTAGTTTCTCCTGGGGCAAACACTGCTGGTTTTCCAAAGCCAGTCCAGTCTCTACTCTTCCTTTACTCCCACCCAAATTGCAATCTGTATCTGGTGGTGATAGGCTTAGCAGAACAGCCACAGGATAAGCCATCTAGACAATGAAACATGAAGCTGTGCTTTAGGGGCTGCTGAGAATCGTTTTGTGGTCTTGAATAACGTCATTGAACTACTGAACTAACCAGCTCCAGAACCTCCCTTACTTCAAACATCTTGATATGTAAAGTGATAAATTTCCTTATCATTTAAACAATTTAAGTCTTCTGTTACTTGCAGGCAAAAGCATCCTAACTTTCCCTTTCCTATACCTCAGTGTAAACAAATTGCACCTTTTCTTCCCAGCTGCTTCTTATACTGTGGTCTGTTAAAAAATGCAGAAGCATCATCCTTATAATATTTATAAGATAGATTATCTTAATTCTTATACAGAGCAGCTCTAGAGGTAAACATTAGTGGTAACTCCATCTCATCAATGAGAAATCCATGGATCAATTTCAGCTCCTGATAACTTTTTTTTTTTTTTGAGACAGAGTTTCGCTGCTGTTACCCAGGCTGGAGTGCAATGGCATGATCTCGGCTCACCGCAACCTCCACCTCCTGGGTTCAGGCAATTCTCCTGCCTCAGCCTCCCGAGTAGCTGGGATCACAGGTGTGTGCCACCATGCCCAGCTAATTTTTTGTATTTTTAGTAGAGATGGGGTTTCACCATGTTGACCAGGATGGTCTCAATCTCTTGACCTCATGATCCACCCGCCTCGGCCTCCCAAAGTGCTGGGATTACAGGCTTGAGCCACCACGCCCGGCCAGCTCCTTCCTGATAACTTAAATGGCTTAAAGAACTCTTACACACAGCAGCCTCATTTTTCAGACACTACAGCCAAGACCCACAGAGAAGTAAGTAAAATAGCTGAAATTTGATGGACTCTGAAGTTCATGCTTTTTTCTTTAGATCTCTGTGCAAAATAGCTCTTCTAAGAAATGAGCACAAAAGCATTTCAAACAGACACTTTGGACAGTCACACTACACAGTCACTCCAGATTTTAACTGCTCCATAAACACAGTCTTCTACTTCAGAAGATGCAAAACTGAAGGTCTCCTGCGTATCTTACAGAGGACATGTATTCTGACACCCAGTAGAAAATGAAAAGCAACTCCTTGTCCAAGACTCATAAAGTTAGCACCTTTGCTTAGCGGTATCATTTTCTCTGAAGCTAGAAACTAACTGAAAACCAGACCTGCTGTGCAGAGAAAAGAACTGAGCTGAACTGAGCTGAGCTGAGCTAAGCTCCTTCTCCCCAGCCTCTAGGTAGGTCAGATGAGAATGGCTCCTTTCAACATAGCACATTTCAATAGCTCAAATGTCCTCTGAGAGAATAGCAGGGACTTTCTCATGTTCTCAAGCGTCTGATTCTCCGGAGGCCTTCTGCCTTTTCCTGCCTGGGTCCAGGGACTCACCCTGCTTTCCTCCTCCTTTGGTGCTGCCAGCATCCTGCTGTCCCTCCACAGGGTTCTAATCACCTGATCTCCCATGCTGGAGGCTGAAAAGGGTGCCGTCTTCCAGCTCCACAAACATACTTGCTACCCTAAATTGAAGTTCTTGGCCCTGGTATCATGTAAGTCTTACTGTGGGATTTTTTTAACTTTTATTTTAGGTTTTGCGGTACAGACACAGGTTTGTTATATAGGTAAACTTGTGTCTTGGGAGTTTGTTGTGCAGATTATTTTATCCAGGTTCGAAGCCTAGGGCTTGAATATTTTTCCTGCTCCTCTCCCTCCTCCCACTTTCCACCCTCACATAGAACCCAGTGTCTGCTGTTCTCTTCTTTGTGTTCAATGAGTTCTCATCATTTAGCTCCCATTTATGTGGGAGAACATGTGGTATTTGGTTTCATGTCCCTGTGTTAGCTTGCTAAGGATAATAATCTCGAGCTCTATCCATGTTCCTGCAGAAGACATTATCTCATTCCTTTTTATGACTGCATAGTATTCCATGGTGTATATGCATCACATTTTCTTTATCCACTATGTCATTTATGGGCATTTAGGTTGATTCCATGTCTCTGTTGATGTGAACAGTGCTGCAGTAAACATCTGCATGCATGTGTCTTTATGGTAAAATTATTTATATTCCCCTGGGTATATACCCAGTAATGGGATTGCTGCATCAAATGGTAGTTCTGTTTTTAGCCCTTTGAGGAATCGCCATACTGCTTTCCACAATGGTTGAACTAATTTACATCTCCACCAACAGTATATAAATGTTATTCTCTGTTCTCTGCAACCTCACCAGCATCTGTGGGATTTTACTGCAAAAGAGACAAGAGCGAAACTCCAAGTAGTTTGATATCACTGAGAGAAGAGTGCACAGGGGCCACTGCAGCTGCAGGCAGACGAGAGGGCAGGGACAACCCACACAGGAGCTTGCAGGCCTTGTTGAGAAATTTGGACTTATCCTGAAGGCAAAGAGAAGCCATTGGATTTTAAGCTGGAGCAGAACAAGATCATATTTGGGTTTTAGGAAAAAGGTTGGTGGGGGGCTGGGCGTGGTGGCTTATGCCTGTAATCCTAGCACTTTGGGAGGCCAACGTGGGTGGATCACAAGGTCAAGAGATTGAGACCCTCCTGCCAACATGGTAAAATCCCATCTCTACTAAAAATATAAAAAAATTAGCCGGGTGTGGTAGTGTGTACCTGTAGTCCCAGCTACTTGGGAGGCTGAGGCAGGAGAATCGCTTGAATCTGGGAGGCGGAGTTTGTGGTGAGCCGAGATGGTGCCATTGCACTCCAGCCTGAGAAACAAGAATGAAACTCAGTCTCAATAAGTAAATAAACAAACAAACAGAAAAAAGGTTGTGGAGGAAAAGAAAGGGATAAGACTAGAGACCAAGAGACTATGGCAATAATCTGTGCTGCTTTGTCAGGTAAAGAGCTTCCTGTCACTGGAATATGCAACTAGAGAAGCTGTAAGAACACACCCTATGATGGACACAAAGTCAAAATAGCTCCTGCCTGAGGTCCCTTCCAGCTTTCAGGCACCAAGGTTCTCTGAGAGAAAATTTACATAACCTTGTCCAACCTTCACCCCGCTCCCCGTCATGAACCCCAAGCTCACAGGTTGTGAAACTGAGATGCACCGTGGGTTGATGGTGGGTCTGATCACAGTTTCTCCATCCCAGCCTGAATAGGTTTCTGTCTCCATGGCAGGTTTGAGGTCCCCCAGCCAGTGCTCCACATGGGGACAAGGGGCAGTTCCATTTTGTTGTGCAACAGCTCATAAATCCAGGAATTACAAACAAAGGGGATTCTGTTACAGGTAAATACCATTTGAAATACAATCTCTGTGAGGGCTTTATGTTTGTCATTAATTTTATAAATTGTTGCAGTAATTAACAGGGCATAAAATAGGCTTCCTACCCCATCCAGGAAGGCCTTCCTGAATGCTCCATTGTCAGATGTGCCCTCAGGATCTCAGAGTGGTGGTGCCCTGGGTGATGCTGGGTGTGGGATGAGGGTGGGAGCACCTTAACACTGGGAAAAACACCTCCATTCATGGGCGGTAGTTTAATGAGTTTATTTTAGGTGGCTTAGAAAATGACACAGAGATTTACCTCCCAGGCCCTCCCCTCCATAAATTAGAATGAGGCCTGTGGCCTGGGAGACAATTAGGACCTTCCCCTGCATTTAAATCAGAAGCTGGGCAATGAGAACAGTTTTCTCCCTTGCTGTGAATGTATCGATTTGGGGGATTTTCCCCACTTTTTTCCACTTGTTTTCTTTCTTTCTGGGAAAACTGTCAAGAGCTGTATGGAAAATAAAAACCCCAATTCATGAACACAGTTTGGATTTCTTTCTGGAACATAGTACCTTCTTAAAGTCTCAAATGACTCACAAAATTCTGAGCCCTCCTGTTCCTGCCACCCTGAAGGACGCTGTCTCCCTCCATCCAGTTTGCAGTTTGTCAGGAAACAAGCCGGTAAATGTGATGTCCTTGGTACTCCCTCCTCACTACCTTTTAATTCAGCAATGTTTCAGGTGGATAAAAAGTATAACTAGTATAAATAATACTTGTGAACTTACTACCTGACTGGAAATATAAAACATTACAGACAAAGTGAAGCCCCCAGGCTCTTCTCTCATTTTTTAATTACATGTTCTGTGGGGGATTTTAGCAAGAAAGTGTCATGGTTCGATGAGATTTTAGGGAGCTTACTCCAACTGTGGTATAAATGGGGGTAACTAAGACTAGACACAAACAGACCAGCTTAGAACAGCGTGCACCCTGTCTCTACAAAAAATACAAAAAGTTAGCTGGGTGTGGTGGCAGGCAACTGTAATCCCAACTTCTTGGGAGACTGAAGCAGAGAACTGCTTGAACCTGGGAGACAGAGGTTGCAGTGAGCCGAGATAGCACCACTGCACTCCAGCCTGGGCCACAGAGCGAAACTTCGTCTCAAAAAAAAAAAGGTGTTCAATGATCCAGGCCAAAGATAATAACAATTCAGGTCCTGCTCTTCACCCCTTAATGCTAAGCATGAAAAATCAATGGGCAAATAAAATTTCTGAGTAATAATGGCAACCAACACTTGTCTCACCTTCAATTTACCCTGTATTTTTCAAACATCACCAAATCCTCTCCATTGCCTTTTATTTCATCTCCATTTTACAGATACGAAAAGTGAAGCTCAAGGCAGTTTAATAATTTTCCCAGGATCATAATGCTGGGGTTGAGTCCTTGATAATGCCTCTATAGCATTTTCCCTTGACCCTGAATCAACGCAGTGCCTAGGACAGAACCTTGCTCATAAATAGTCTGTGCTCCATAAACGCTCAGTGGATAAATGAATTGCTCCTACCATACTTCTATTCTTTTAGTATTTAATCATATACAGCCCAGTGTCATTTCTGGCATTTACTTAAATAATTAACAATAATATATTTCCAAACTTGGTAGTAAGCTCCTTGAAAGAGGGGTCATGTTTCTTACCTTTTGGCACAAAGTAGAAATTCAAGATTATAATGATATAACAGACATACAGACTTCCACAAGAAGAAGCTCATAGAGTTGGAATTGTGTGCACATGTAGCTCAGCCACTTCCACCCAGATTCCTCAGCCAGCCCATACTTAGAATCCCTCCTATGTGCCAGCCTTCAGGATGGGCAATGGAATACCATTAAGCAATGAGACACTATCCTTGCCACAGTGCTCATGCACAGTCCTGGGGTCACGGGGGCTTAATGGACAACTTCTTTGTATAAAGCCATATCATAGAAGAAAATATGGAAGAGGCAGGAGCATATGGAGAAGGGAGAACCCATGCCCTAATCAATGACATTCAGATTCAATTTTTCACATTGTGTCAATAAAATAGAACATGTTTGGTAGAAAAATTTGACTGTTTAGCCATTGAGACACCAGATGTGAGCCACTGATCTTCCTAAAGAGGCAGACAGGTAAAAGAGTGCCCATCCATTATTCTGCACTGCTCACCATAATTCAGGGTCAAAGATCATGGCAACTGCTTATGCCATAGAAGCATCTTGGAAGCACAAAACTCTATACAGCATTAAAAACATGCATAGGATTCACCTACCTGATACTGACCATAGAGCTTACACTCCACCTGTTCAATTGTTGAATGGTCACCTTCTAAACACAAATCTGGAGTCACTAATGTCAAAAATGTCCCTGGTCCTAATCCAGTCTTTACACTTCTAGGAATCTGCTCTGAAGAAATAGTGGTTAGTCTTGAAAAGACACAGACATCCACTGAGCCACAGTTTATAATGAAGAACTGATATGATAATAATAAGAAACATTTGTTAACTTATTATTTAGGTCACATATCAGGCACTGTGTTAATGTACCTATAAATTTTATCTTAATCTCATCAGTTTCACTATCAATTCTATAAAAAGGCCATTATTGTATTTATTTTCCAGTTGAGGAGATTGAGGCTCAGAAAGGGTAATTATTTCATCTTTGTTTGGTCAGAAATCGAGCTTAAGTGATGGAGATATAATTCCTGTTCCAGGGCCAGTGATCTTACACACTAGGCTCCAAATCAAACAGCAGAACAGGTTAGTAAATTTTAGTGTTAAATGTAATGTCATCCAATTTTTTTAAGTGATGTTTACAAAAATTGCCTACAGAATCCACATCGAATAAAAAAGTGAAAGCAATTTAAAATTACACCTTTGACAACTATGGTTACATGTTTGTAAACACACACGTATACACACACACCTCAAAAGATTATAAACCAAAATGTGACCAGTGGTTGTGGTAAGGTAATAAGACTAGGGTGATTATTTTATTTTGGGTCTCAATTTTTCAAACATTTTAGAATCTCATAGTAAATTATTTTGATCATAGGAAAAGCATATTTTTATATTTATTGCTAATTCTAATAACTGTCTACCCTCCCATTAATCATCTGTTAATCTTCTGCCAGAAACATCTACCAATGAGCAATGAAGAATATTAATTTTCAAACCCTTTGCTGAAAAATTCTTGGTCTTAAAGGCAGAAAAGAAACAAATAGAAATAGAATTGGTGCACTTATATGTCATTCAGTCTCATCATTTTTTTTTCTTAACCTCAGCCTCTCCCAGAAACAAGACAAAGAGAGCAAAAATTTCATGAAATCTCCAATTTGGTAGGAAAGGGTAATTATCTAGTTGTCTAAAAGCTGTCTAGTCTATTCCATATCTAATACAAAAATCCCCAAAATAGAACTCTTATTGAATGTCCTTGTATTAGTCCATTCTTGCATCATTATAAAGAACTACCTGAGCCTGGGTAATTTAAAAGAAAAGACTTTTAATTGACTCAGTTCTGCAGGCTGTACAGGAAATTTACAATCATGGCAGAAGACAAAGGGGAAGCAAGCACCTCTTACATAGCCAGAGAAAGAGGAAGAGAGAAGGGGGAGATGCCAGATAGTTTTAAACAACCAGACCTCATGAGAACTCACTATTACCAGAACTGCAAGGGAGAAATCTTCCCCCATGGTTCAATCACCTCCCACCAGGAGCACCACCCCCAACACTGGGGATTGCAATTCAACATGAGATTTAGGTGAGGACACAGATCCAAACCGTATCAACCCCTGATGTTGTGGCACTTGCTGATGTTGGGAGACAGTTTTCTATGGGTCTTTCATGTTTCCAAATAACTTATAAGCAGAGGCACCAGCTATCATTTCAAAGATCTTTGTAGAGCAAATAGCCTCAGAAGATAGAAACAGTGGACCCCCCAGGAGCAGTGGACTGGTTTGTTTGCTGTCCTGCATAATAAAGCTAATGTCTCTCCCCAGGACAAGGGTCTTGTGGGTTTGCTTGCAACACACTATAAAAGATTTGGGTTTCCTAAGCTCTAGGTTTCTCAGCTAGCTGTGAAGCAAGCACATTGGAAATGCAGCACACATCTGCAGTACTTTGCAACACTTTTTGGGACTTAGAGGACAAGAGAAAATACACACAAACATGAAGCTTATGCCATTTTCTGTGCTATGAGTAATAAAGCCCTTTGCCTCTGACCCAGGAGTCACCTGTCTTCTACCAGCACCCATGAAACTGTAGCAGGCTACCTTGTTAGCTTGGAAGCAGGATAAAGTCTCAGATTCTTCACAGTTCTTTACAACTGCTTTTTAAGACAACCTATGATTTCACATGCGTTTATGTGCTATTCCTACATGACATGTAAAGTTCCTTTTTAATATTTTTTGTTTTTGCTAGTGTGAATTTAAGGTAGAGTAGAGTTAAAGCTTTTCAGAACTTACTTTTAGCTGTATGGTGACCATATGGCCTGGTCTGTCCCACATCATCATTCTATTTATGACTAATGTCCCAATATAACTATTAATAATACCCTTGTTCATTCTCAAAAGTGTCCCTGCTTGGATGATAAATTATACAGACATTCTAATTAAAGAGAACTGTGGTGGCAAGTTTAATAACCAGAGGTAAAGTATAAGGGCAAGAGACCACATATTGTTGTAATATCTTTCTACCAAAACATTAAGATACAAGGTAAGCCTCTATGCTCCAACAGAAAAATTCTACAGCACGGGAAAGTTATTTAACCTCCTTGTGCCTTGGTTTCTTTTTCTGTAACATGGGGATAATAATGGTACTGACCTCATAATGTTATTGTAAGATTAAATCAGTTAGTATGGTAAATATAAAATACTTGAAACAATGCCCAAGCATGTAGTAAATATGTTAGCTATTACTATTTGCATTCATGATCACTATCATCTTTATTTTTACTTATTTATTTATTTATTTATTTGGAGACAGAGTCTCGCTCTGTCATCCAGGCTGGAGTGCAATGGCATGATCTTGGCTCACTGTAGCCTCTGCCTCCTGGGTTCAAGTGATTCTCCTGCCTCAGCCTCCTGAGTAGCTGGGACTACAGGCACGTACCACCATGCCCAGCTAATTTTTGTATTTTTAGTAGAGATGGGGTCTCACCATGTTGGCCAGGATGGTCTCGATCTCCTGACCTCGTGATCCACCCGTATTGGCCTCCCAAAGTGCTGGGACTACAGGCGTGAACTATCATCTTTGTATACCACAAGAGCCATGATTTTTTTGACCATTTGTGAGCACCCAAAGATCTACTTCAAGCATTCCGAAGACCACATAGAGCCCTGAGTAGTTATTCATCTCATACCCTAAATTTCCAGCAAGACTATACCCCCTCAAATCTAGGTTGGCAGCTCATTTGGATTCTATAGCAGTGTCACAGAACTGTCCAATACATAATAAATGATCATGAATGAAATAAAAACAACCTTTTTCTAAATTTGTATATGGCTCATGATTCCAAACTTTTATCATTTTGTGTATATATGTGTATGTGTGTGGGTGTGTGTGAGGGGGGTATATATGTATACTTATATTTTGCTAAGGCCCCTATTCCATATCTATGAGGGAAGGGAGCTGCTATTAATATTTATACTCAGGTAATGGTTATAAACCAGAACAGGGCAGGGCACACCAGGTCATATGATACAATTCATGGGGTCTTTGACTCTTCAGACAAAATAAAGCTCCCAAAAGGCAGCACTTACTATAAGAAGAAGGAAGAGAAGTTGGAGGAGGAAGAGGAAAAGAAGAAAGAAGGAAGAAAATAAATTTGAAAAAATAAGTTAAAAGAAATCTACAACTCAACTCAGAGTAACACTCACCAAGACACAGAACAGGCTGTCTTAGAAGATAGTCACTCAGTAAACTCCTTTGGGGTGTTGGGGATGGGAGGAGAGGGTCATCTCTCCCACTGTAAAATGCCAGTGCCATGGTTAGACAACTTAATAGCAGGGTAGCATTTCAGTTACAAATCAAGAACTGTTTCAGTAAGGTCTCTTCAAACTCTGGTGGGTTAGCCTGTAGGGGAGTCTCTGAATCTGTGCACTCTATAAAAAGCAGGACAGTTTTATGGCCCTGGGGTTCAATAAATGTTAAAACGCCAAAGGTGGCAATATACCAAGTATGCAAAATATCCTGAAGGGTCTTAAATCTCAGAGCAGCATGACTTGTATTGAGATTGTCTTCGAGTCTTGACATGCACAATGAACGGCGCAATACGCCCTCCGCTCGGCATCAAGTAAGAAGTGATGAGCATGTCAAATATGAAATATTCTCCTTTTTAAAATTCATTTGTTTTATCAGGACCCCTGAGCTGCCTTGCACACTCCAAATGAGTGTCGTGTCCTCTTTGTAAGAAGAACAATCGCAAATGATGAGACCATTTATAAAACAGTGATCTTCCTGATGTAGCTCTGAGGGCCAGATCTGCTGTTCATGGCCAGCCCTGCAGGGTATTTGTTCCTTCTGAGAATTTCTGGTCAGACTAAGCACAGATTTCCTGTGTATTTGTCACTTTTGGTTCCCTTAACCAGAAAGGCTGCAAGATTTTCTTAATCAGGAGAAATAATAATAACAGTATGACTGCCAATACTCTTGTGTCTACCATTTACTGTCCCTTGCTATGTGTTAGATGCCATGTTAAATTGGTGGCAGTATTTATGGCCATTGGGTCCTCCGGGATGCAGAGACCGAGATGAGTTAGGAGTGCAAATGGTATATTGAGGGCAATGTTTGTAAGATTGAAAAGGGAGAGAAGTCAGAATTGGACAGAGAAAGCCTTCAGTCTGAGATGCTGATCTGATACCTGGGAAACCACAGTGAGAGGAAGCAGGATTATTTCCTGGGAGGCCGTAAGTCACTGTTCTTCTGGCTTTAGTTTCCTGCTTCACAATTTTCCTACGGTTTACCCAGAAACCAATAACAAGGGCGGGTCCCTCCTGATATGTACCGAGCTTGACTTCTTACAGAGCTCTGGTATCTGGTGGCTCTCACATTCTAGGACTTTTAGTGACTTTCTTGGGATTTGAAAGACAGAGCCCATACGAGTACTCAGATTCCCCACTCAAGGCACTCCTGCCATTCAATATATGGTGTCAATCCAGGGGTAATCAGCCTGCCTTCCGTTTCCCCATCAAGCTCAGGCAGAAGTCTAATTGCAGTTAATACCTGTAATTTGAGGATGAAGCTATAAATGAGATCCAGCCAGAGTAGGTGGGGTTGGGGATGGGAGGCCATCAGACCAGCCAGGATGGCATCTGAACAACAGAAGCTGGTGTTCTTGCATGTGAATAGACTCAGGTCGTAGGGACACAGGTGACTTCCTTCAGTTGCTGCTAGAGAAGGCCTATGTGCAGGTGTGGGCTGGGTAACCTCCCATCAGTTAAGCCTCTGCATACCCTCAGTCCTAATCCTGCCATCCCCACCTGTGAGCTCCCTAAATGTGCATACAGACATCCTAAGGGGTGTCTGGCTGCAAAATCTTGCCAGAGAAGCAAAATTGGTTTGGACTCTTCTTCCCTAAATGTTACCTCACTCTGGAGGTCCAGACAACCAGAGACACTTTAGTATTTTTGTTTACCAAAAAATAAATTGAGGTTTTCTGGCTCTAGAGTTCATGCTCTTACCCATTATACAGTATTGCCATCTGTATCAGTTAGATTCCAATAAGGAGAGAGTAACTTGATTTGAATAGGGAAAGCTTAGGATAAATAATTATTAACTAGTAACAGTGGTATCAAAAAAACTAGATCCAATTTATGTTCTGAGCTCTGTCTATCATATAATGCTGCAGAGAGAATCGTTAGCAAGACACGCAAGTTTGTATATTCCTCAGATATTACTAAGAAGGTCCTCTGTGCTAGGTTCTGTGCAGAGGTGTTGGAAACTCACTGATAAAAAACACAGGAGCAGCTCCTGCCCTCACATAGTTCAGGGTCTGTAAGAAACGGCCTCATATCTTACAGTGAAGAATTGAGAAACACCAACCCAGACGAACTAAGTGGGAACCAGTCAAATCACCTGGAATGCCTGCTAAAAAGGGACTGGCACACCTGAACCCAAATCAAATAAATCTAAACTTTGGTGCTCCAAGACCACATAACAGTAACACCGTAATCTGATGAACTGAGTTAAAGGAAAGCAGAAGTCTAGGAAAGCCTTCTAAAAGGCTCCTAAGAACTCACCATGATTGTATGAGAGTCAGGTGCCAGACGCGGTGCTGAGCATTCTGGATGCATCTCTCTTTTTAATCCTCCAGCAGCGTGATGGTCTTCGTATGTGTTAACAGGTTTAATCCTCATGCTAACCTTTTGAGTTAACATCATCATCCTTATTTTATACCTATAAGGAAAATGAGGCAAAGAGTAGTTAAGTCATTTGTCAAGGCCACACAGGTGGTAAGTAGCAGAGTGTTTTATCATTTTACCGTGTTGTTATCCAACCTGGCACACAGAGAGTCCATGGGAATTTTGCCATCACACCGCTTGCCTCTCTCTGCCCTTCTGCCCATTGTGCAGCCTCCTCCTCTGACTGGCTGAAGGAATCGCATGTGCAAAGACCCAGAGGTAAGAAAAGGCACAGACCATTCAAGGTGGCTTGGGGAACCTAATGTGCTAATCCATGAGGCTAGACTATAAATGCTTAAGGTCCAGAGGATATTGCATACCGCAAAACCTGGACCCAACAGGCTAATGCTTTGAACCTCTGTTTAGCCCTTTTGACCTGCCTAAAAAATGTACTCTTTCATGCCCTGTACTGAGTGTTTCCATCCTTGCCTAAACCACAACCATGGCATAAAGACACCTAAGAATCTGAAATGAGGAAACCAGCAACACTCACCTTCAGTATCCTTCAAACAATCCCCAAATGCAGGGACATCCAGCTCAAAACCCTGCAGTCTGTCTCCTATTCTGTGTCATCTGTCTGCCCAAGCCCACCCTTCTGATACAGCAACCTGTGATCAAACCCAGTTTTGTACCTTTCCCCCTGCCACCAAGATCAACTTTGCTGAGTCCTTCTTCTGCTCACTGAGCTATTAGTTGACTAATTAATACAATTCATTCATTCCTTGACAATGACAAATGCCAAGCAGATGGTAAAGAAGAAAAAGCTTATGGTTTGGGTCAGGAGAAATGGATTCAAGTCTTGGCTCAGCTGTTGACTAGCTCTCTGAGCCTCAGTTGCCTCATCTGTAAAACAGGGTAATACCCACCCACATAGAGTTGCGGAGAGGTGGAAGTAAGATCGTGTCAGTGAAAAGTTTTTGAAAACTCTCCCCAGAAAAGATTTCTATAAACGTGAAGTTGGCCATTTAACACTGTCTGGCCCATTAAACCTCCCACTGAGGCTAAATGAGGGTGGGGGCAGGTTTGAAACTTTTTTAAGTTTATCTGAGTCTGTGGTCATGTGTGTTGGCTCTGGAATCAGAATCCCCTGCACCTGATTCAGTCTCTGCCACATACTACCTGTGAGACCGAAGACAATTTGATTAATTTTACTGTCTTAGTTTTCCCATCTGTAAAATAGGCATAATAACACCTAGCTCTGAGGCTCTTGTGAGAATTAAATGCAATATTGCAAGTAAGGTCATTAGTGTAGTGCTTTTTATACAATAAATGCTAAATAAACATGAGTGAATTTTTAAAAATCCTCACAACCTACACAGGGTGTGTTATTATCTATGTCTTACAGATGTATCAACTCAGGCCCACACAGATGAAAGTTTCAACCAAGGATACTCAGGGAGTGGATGACGTTGATGAGCTTTGAACCCAGGTCTGTGGAATGTGAATGTGCTCCTATACTGCCTGCCCTACTGTCTCTCAAGCTTGGCCAACAGCTTCTCATGTGGAATCCTCCACGAGCTCATTGGTAACATGATCTCTTAGTTAGGCCAGAGCCTAAATCCTGTCCTCTAGAGAAAGAATGAGATGGAGACAGGATTCCTCTGAGCAGCAGAGAAGCAGGTGAGGGCAGCAAGAAGATGGGCAGGGCTGTGGAAAGCTCAGAACTGAGTGTGGGAAGAGCAGCCTCAGTCAGAACACGCAGCAGAGAGAGGGAAGGCAGCACTGGAAGGGGTATCAGAAGCAGGAACAGCATGAGCCTGCAGAGGCCAGAGGCCCAGGCTGGCCTCCCTTGCTATCTCCCTCTGTGTCTAGAGGGACCCTGGTGTTTTATAAGGCTTCAACCTAAATGAAAGAAAAACTGAATTAGGAGGCTCATTTCTTCTGCCCAGTGAACAGCTCAGTCCCCATTGGGAAGGACAGAACATGCCATGCACAGAAAGCTCTGGCATCCCAAAGGGACAGCACCCAACCCCTGTTCCTGCATTAGTACCACTGATCCCACCCCTTGGGGCAGGATATTCGAACCCTCTCCTGGGTTGCCAAGGCTAAGCTTTGGGAGAGTCCTTAGAAATCATCAACTGGAACCCTTGGCTTTTAGGTGAAGAAACTGAGGCCAAAGGTGGAAAAGTATGTGAAGAGAAATAGCCAGCTCTGCAGGCCTTGAAGGGATATTCCAATCCTTTCCCACCTAATTCATTCATTCAACAGCCAGTTATGAAGATACAGGTGCTGTGCTTACAATTAGAAGCCAGAAGCTATCAACTAACAGCCCAAAGTCATGATTTTTTGATCCACTAGAATATTTTTAATTTTTAAATTAATTGACATCTTAAAATCACCAGATTTTTCATAAATAACCAGGTATTTGTCTTCTATTTAAAAATTAGACCTGGATACATGTTCACCTGGGCCTGAGAACATTTTATCCTGCGCTCACTGCTCAGCCTCACACCTGGCATCCATCCCATGGCACACTACCCTACCCTCGCTGCATGGGTTCATGCATCAGAAATGTACTTTGCTCTCTTATATGGTTCGTAACAAGTGTTTCTTCCTCTAAAGCAGCACTTCTTAGACTTAAATGTGCATGTGAACCACTGATTATGATTCTGATTCTGTAGATCTGGGGTGGACCAAACCTAACAAGCTCCCAAGGGACACCAGAGCAGCCACTCCAGCCTGGGAGCACACTTGGAGGAGCAAGGCTCCGAAGAATGTCCAGCTCTCTTAAACCTGGCTTGTACATACGCCTTGACACCCTTCACTCATCTTGTTTGTCTAACTTCAACCTCTCTGTAAGAGGGCTCAATTTAGGTATTCCCTCCTCCAAGGAGCTTTCCCTGATTGCCCATCGTAGGTTCAGCTCAGGCCTTGACTCTCACAACACTTGGTGCTTCCTTCTGTCCCAGGTAAACGAACTAATATGATACAGTGTGATGTTTTCCTCACTCAGTTCTTGGGACAGGGACTTCACCACTGTTACTCCCTTACCTCCATAGTGTAGGCACTTTAAAATATGTGTGTGAATGAGGGTCTCTGAACTCTGCCTCCTTATTCATTCATGTAGCCCACTGCGGGGGACTTGCCTCAGACCTTAGTGGAATAGAACTAAATTCAAATCTTTAACAGCTGTCAGTGAACTTTGCACAGACTGTCTGAGTTCTTCAAATCTAGCTTCATTTTATCTGTAAAATGAGTATTAAAGTACATACTTCTCAAGTCTTCTCTAAGCATGGAATTAAATCCTACATCTAGCCCAGTGCCTGGCACACGGTAGAAGATGAATAATGCACATTACAATTCACCTCCTGGCTTGTGAGGCCCTGGGTGCTGAAAGGCTGTGGGGAAAAAAGCAAAGGCTGATCAGAGCAAGACTTCTCAAGGCTTTCCTGAAGATGCCTGCAAACTGGGAAGCCACTTCCTCCTCTGATCACAGACAGGACCCAGGTAGGAAGGTGAGTGGCTGCAGTCTTAGAGCAGTAGAAGCAACAGGTGGGTGTAGACCTTGACCTTCTCGTTTCCCCCTGTCTGTTAGATTTGTGATTTCAGACATACCTTTCCCAAGCCTCTCCTGAACTGCTTTTGGAGGGCCTTTTTTCTCTCCTCCTCTTTTTCCTCCCCTCTTCCTGCATACCTCCCTGCAATCATCAAAGCTAATCTTGGCTCAGGTAACAAGGTGTGTGTTAGGTCCAGGGTGACGACTATGCCTAATGTCATGCTCAGGGTTAGGTTCCAGCTCACACTGAGGTTCTAAGGGAGTGGGTAGATGGTGATCGCTGAAAAAACACTTTGGTGGGGGGGCGTAAACAGGTGAAATGTAGTTAATTCAGAAGCTCTCTCATCAGCAGCTTACACTGGCTCTCTCACACTGCTTCGAGTCAGCTGCTTGCTCTGGCTGCTCCCACACATACCTGCATGGCTGGCTCTCCCTGGTCTTCATGGTCAGCAGCTTAACTCTTTGTCCCTGGGCACAAGCCCATTCCTGGCTCCCCACTGTCCATCTGCCAGACGGTCATTCTCCTTTACAGGGGTCAGTAGCTTCGCTCTCAGTCTGGGCGGCAGCACCTGCACAAGAGCCATGTTGAGCCATGCCGAGGAGTGTCTGAACAGTGTCAGCAGGGCAGTTAATGCTCCAAGCCAGGCGATGAGCTTACACAAACAGGTTATATAACAAGTGAAGTGTGTGCCTGCATCCTAAGCTTGCTCAGTCACTCTGGCTTGGATATCCACCTCGGCCTATTCCTTGACCAAAGCACATCCATGTACCTTACAGTGTGCCAGCAAGGGCCAGAGAGCCAGAAATTCAGGTATCCATTTCTATCTTTGCTCCTTGCAATCTGTGTGCCTTTAACTTTTTCAAGCTTCATGTATTAGTTATCTATTTCTGAATAACAAATTACTCCAAAATTTAGCAACTTGGGACAGCATTCATTATCTAACATGATATTGACGCATCCAGAATCTAGGAGCAGCTAGGCTGGATGGTTCTGGCTCAGGGTCTCCCATGAGGTTGCAGTTACCCGAAGGTTTGATGGCAGCTCAAAGACCTGCTTTCTCAACGGCTGACTCAGATGGCTGCTGGTGGGAGGCCTCAGTTCCTTGCCATGTCCCCACAACATGGCAGCTGGCTTCCCCCAGGGCAAGTGATCAAGAGAAAGCAAGAGGAACTAACACAGAAAAGTAGTATTTATAACCTAATATTGGAAGTGACATACCATCACTTTGGCCATACACCACTGGTCCCACCCAGGGACAGTGTGGGAGGGGACTGCACAATGGAGTGAGTGTCAGGAGGCAGGACCACTGGGAACCATCTTGGAGGCTGACAACCTATTATGGCCTCCCTCCAGGCAGTCCTACCTGACCATCCCCTCACAGAGATAAGGCCTGTGTGTGCCCTTCCCATGGTACTTCACAGATTCTGTCAGCAAGAGCCATCAGAACTAGGGGGAGGGAGGCTAGAAGCAGGGCAGGGAGGAGGGAGACAGGAGGGTGAGTTCTTAGAGACTAAATAGACAGGCCTTGAGAAGACATTCAGGCTGAGGATCATCTGCCAAAGAGCAGCCACGGCACATGCTCCCCACACAGTTTATTTAGCTTTTCCAGCTCCACGCAAAAGTAAGAATTCTTGACCTTGTTAAGCCTCAGTTTTCCCGTATGCACAAGAGAGAGGTAAGTTACTTGCCCAAAGTCACAGCAGAGAGCCTATGCCAGGGCTGGAATTCAAACCCAGACCTCTCTGATGCCTGCAGCTTTGCCTCTTAGAGAGAAAGCTGCCTGGGCCAGCAAGCTGAGAACTGAGCCTGGAGATCAGGGCGACAGGTAAGAGGGGTAAGGCCTTGAGTGCCCACCTAAAGAGGTGGGCTTTTTTTTGATGTGGACTTATTGATGTTTCAAAAAGATCATTCTGGCAGAAGCACAGAAATGAGTGGATGGGGAGAAACTGGATCAATGGTTCTCAAAGTGTGGCCCCAGACCATGGCTTCATCTGGGAGCTTGTTAGAAATGCTCAGTCTCATCCCACCACAAACCCACTAAATCAGAAACCCTGGGAGTGGGGCCCATCAGTCTGTTTTCACAAGACCTGCAGGTAATTCTGATGTTCCCTAAGGGTTGAGAACCACTGGACTGGAGGTCACATAACCAGCTAAGGGTTTATTTAAATACTTTGAAGAAAAAAAAAATGATAGAAGCATAAACCAGAACAATGCTGATATTAAATTACTAGCTTTAACCTGGGCAGCAAAGTGAGACCCCCTAACTCAACAAACAACAGCAACAACAAAACAGAATGTGGTGACATGCACCTATAGTCCCCAGTACTCAATAGACTGAAGTGGGAGGATCCCTTGAGTCCAGGAGTTCAAGACTGCAGTGAGCTATGATCACACCACTCACTCCACCTGGACAACAGAGTGAGACCCTATCTTTAAATAAATAGATAGACTTTGTGTCTTATTTCATTTCAATTTCCATTAAATCATGTATAAATTATCAGCAATAATCTTGAAGTATATAAATGATGATTCCCATTTTTCAGATGGGGAAACTGGGATTCAAAGAATATTATAGCAAAGGTCACATATCTACAGGATGACATTGCAATTTTTCACCAAACAGGGACACTTTTGAAAGGGAAAGGAGATGCTAAAATTCATTCCACAGGGTCAGTAGGGCTGAAGTGGGGCTGTAATGAACAAACCAGGATAGACAATCAGCTTTCATGTAAACTGAGACAGCTGGAATGAAATCCAGGACCATAAGTCTCCAAGTCTCCAGTGTCTGTGCCCATCCTTAATCTCCCCCTCAGAATCTGCTTTCTTTGCTCAGCCAAGAGAAATGAGGGGGTTGGGGGGCCAAGGGTTTTGGATGCTGCCTACCAGAGTTTCTCCTGGAGGACTGAGAGAGATGGGAGGGAGTGACACAATTTTGGTCCATCTGCTACTTGTTTAGGTCTGGGCAACCTGACCTGTTTTTACTTCATCTCTAGTCTGGAGCATAAGCAACATGTCACAGTTTTATTGGGAAATGTTACAAAGGTCAGAGCCAAAGGGAGCATGTAAGGCTGCCCTGGGCCCTTCTGGAACTCTCTCCAGAAGCAGCTATGGGCTTTGATGTGCTCCAGCCTCACTCGAGGGCCTTGCCAAGATGTCCCTGGTTCTCCTGGAGGCAGAGGCCACCACTACTAACCTGAGAGTATTTGAGCACTCCATAGTTTGCAAATGCTTTTACATCTCCTTCTCAGCAACTATATCCTTAGGCCTCACACCTGCCTATAAAGAAGGAGTTGAAGTTTCCCATTTGGCAGATGAAGGACCTGGGGCTGAAAGGAGCAAAGCAACTTACACAAAAGTCACCAGGCAGTGCATGGCTGCCCAGCTTGTCTTTCTTTTGTAAGTGTCTACTCTACCATTTATTAATGTAGAAATAGGAAAGCTTGTCAATTTGCTTGAAAGGGAATAATACTGAACTCATACCATCTTTCCTTCCATTTTTAAGATAAAAAATATTAGGAGTTAGTCTTTAATGGTTAGTTTAACTTTTTTTTATCTCAGTTTATTGAGATACAAAAAGGGAAATGTATTGAGATGCAAAACTGGAATTCAGTCGAAATTCTTCTGATTCCAAGGGCATTATGCAGTCCAGAGAGCTAAAGCTATGACAGTGCCTGAGAAACTGATGATAGCATCGTTTTCACGCCTACCACATGTTAGGGACCAGCTGGGCACAGAACATTTGTTACCTTATTCAATTCCCTCTTTTCAGATGAGAAACCTGAGGTTTCAGAAATCTGAAGAGGGGCTAATGACTTCCCGGAGAGCACAAATCTAATGAGTGGTATAGCCAAGATTCAAACTCTGTCTGATTCCAAACTCAAGGCCACACGAGGAGGGCAACATTAGAACAATCCAGTTCAATTCTATGTCTTTGGTCTTGTTAACATTTCTCCAGGGTCAAATCCTATGCAAGGGACAAGAAGAAAAACTAAAGATTCTTCCACACCCTCTCCTCTCTCTTCAAACCTCCAACACCTCCTCCTTCTTCCTCTCACTTAGCTAATGGCCTTGCTTGCTCTTGTCACAGAAAACAGATGCATTTCAAAGCTAACTTCCACACACTCATGCATTCTCTCCAATCCCCACCCTGCATTCGGGCCTGTGTGCCCTGCCTTCCCTCCCATCACTACAGATGGTCTGTCCTGCTGCCACATGAGGTCAGTTCTGCCATGGATGGTCTAGACTTCCCCTGCCACTTTGCAAGGACATAAGTGGAGTAATTGACACCTTCTCTCCTACACTATCAAATTTTGCCTTTCCCTTTCCCACCAACATGTGAATACATTGTGTCTTTCCCACGTTTACAAAACCCAGACTCAACTCTTCATGCCCCTCCAGCCACTGCCCCCCTTCCCTGCTCCCCTTTTTAGAAAAACTCAAACAAGTTTCTGTCTTTTCCCTGTCCCACTTTCTTCCCTCTGATTTCACCTAGGCCCTCTCCAGTCATGTTTCCACTCCATATTCCATGGAAACAACTTTGTCAAGGTCACCAATGACTTTTATGTTGCTAAACCCACTAGTCAATTGCTTCGACCCAACAGCACTTTTGACATGGTTGATTATCTTTTCTTCTTGATACTTTCTTCAGCTTCCAACATTTTCTTTATTCCCCTCCTATATCACTGATGGCTCCTTTTCAGTCTCTTCTGATGGTTCCTTCTTTTCTCCCTTTCTCCTAAAGTTGGAGGACCAGCAGCCTCTTTAAATCTCTTCTCTTCTCTCTCTCGGATGGATGGATGGATGGATGGATGGATGGATGGATGGATGGAGGGATGTGAAGACTGCTAGATACTTTGTGATCTCTTCCACATCCAGTTTTATAAATTTATATATCATATGCTGAAAACTTCTAAATATATATGTCTACCCAAGCCCTCTCTCCTAAATCCCTGACTCACATAACTCTCTACTCAACAACTACATTTAGATATATGATAGGTAGTTTTGACTCCTAATATGAGCTCTGCATCTTCTTCCCAAGCCCTACTTAACTTCCACTTCTGTTCATCCACGTTGAGGGCAATGCTAACCTTCTAGTTAGACAAGCAACAGCTTAGGGTCATCCCTGACTTCTCTCTTTCTCCCATATCCTGCATCCAATCTGTTAGGAAACTGTACTGGGTTTACCTTCAAAACAGATCCTGAATCTGACCACTTCGTTATCATTCCAATCTGAAGCATCATCATCTTGAGCCCGGTTTATCCATCAGCTTCCTAACTGATACTAGGAGACGCATTACCTGTTGCCAGCACTATCCCTGACAGTCTATTCTCAACAGAGCTACTAGAATGATCCATTTAAAAAATAAGATGGGTGAGTTATTTCTTGATTCAGAATTCTCCATGCACTCCTCATTTTGATCAGAGCAAAAGCTACAGTTTTAACAATGGATTATAGTTTCTACATGTCTGGATGCCCTGTCGCCACTCTGACTTCACCACTGCTGCTGTCCTCCCCACCCCAGCCACACAGGCCTCCTCGGCATTGTCTGTCTACCTGGAACTTTTTTTTTTTTTTTAACTGAGTTTCGCTCTTGTTACCCAGGCCGGAGCGCAATGGCGCAACCACGGCTCACGGCAACCTCCGCCTCCTGGGTTCAGGCAATTCTCCTGCCTCAGCCTCCTGAGTAGCTGGGATTACAGGCACGCGCCACCATGCCCAGCTAATTTTTTGTATTTTTAGTAGAGACCGAGTTTCACCATGTTGACCAGGATGGCCTCGAATCTTGACCTCATGATCCACCCGCCTCAGCCTTCCAAAGTGCTGGGATTACAGGCGTGAGCCACTGCGCCTGGCCCTGGAACTTTTTTTTCTAAGATATATGCATGGTTTCCTCCTTCAAGCCTCTGGTCAAAAGATAACTTCTCTAAAACTGTAATAATAACTGCCCTGCCCCCAGCACACCCAGTCCCCCTAACCAGCTCTATTTCTCTCACAGAACTTCATATTTTAGAAAGTACTCTATACTTTAGTTTTTTATTAGGTTTATTGTTGATTGTCTATCTTCCCCCATTACAACGTAAGTTCCAGGACAGCAGAGCTTTTTCTCGCTTTTGTTTACTGACATAGCCCAAATACCTAGAACAATGCCTAGCACACAGGTGCTTAAGAAATATTTGTTGAATGAATGAGTGAGAAAGGAATGTCTCTTCCCTGAAGGATTCTGCAGTCTACTACGGAGGCTGTGGGACAGGCACCACCCATGTTGCCACATTCCCTTAAATCCCTCCCCTCGCTGTCCTTCTCATTTCCTCAAACTCCTGCTTCACAATGGCTCTGCCACTCTTTGGCAGGGCTGCATCTGGAAATTTGTCATCCCTTGGACTTGCAAGATCTTTATAAATAACCCCAATAACCTCTATTTCTTGAGCAATAATTATGCATAGTAATGTGCTAGGTATTTTAAGTATATTATTTCTCATCTTCACAGCACCACTAGAAGGGCAATTTAAAGTTTCAACTTCAACATTTGTAAATGGAGATAATGAATACCTGCAGAGCTTGTTCTGATTCACAATTTAGAGAATGATAGAGCTGTGACCCGGAACTGGATTCACTGGCCCCCAAAGCCTATGTTGTTTTCACTCCTGCCCTGCTAGGGAGAGAGAGAACTCTGTGGCTAAACAGCTTCCAACTTCTTATCCTACTTCGCTCCCTTTCTTTTTCCAAATCCATGCTCCTTCCTGTAATTATCACCCTAGGAGCATGGACTCTGGAGCTGCATTCTCTGAGTTCAAGCCCTGGCTTCATCACTTACTTGATGTGTACCTTTGGGAAAATTACTTACCTCCCCTACTTCTCACTTTCCTCATCTGCAAAATGTGGATATTAACAATACCCATCTCAGGAGGATATGTGTGGATGAAATTAGTTAACACCTTTATCACACTTAAAATGATACCTGGCATGTTGTAGGATTAGTAAATGCCGCAGTTGTTTGTTATTTGTTATTGTCATTATGATCCCACCTGAGTGACAAGATTAGTCATACAGAAAGAGGAAAGGAATTATAAAGCACTGGAAGGAAACATTTCAAAATATTCAAAGATATTGTCCCTCGGAGTGAGATTACTGATGATTTTTACCTTCTTTATAATTCTGTACACTTTCTGCATTTTCTGCATTTATGGGCTGAATTATATTACCTCTGCATCAAAATTCACATGTTTAAGACCTGAACCCAATACTTCAGAATGTGACTGTATTTGGAGACAGAGTTTTTTTAAAGAGGTGAGTAAATTAAAATGAGGCTAATAGGGTAGGCCCTAAAGCAATCTGACTGTTGTCCTTATTATGGAGGGAATTTGGACGTACAGAGAGAGACATCAGGAATGTGCACACACAGAGGAAAGATTATGTGAGGGCACAGCAAGGAGGCAGCCATCGGCAAGCCAAGGAGAGAGACCTCAGACAAAGCTAATCCTAATGGCACCTTGATCTTGGACTTCTAGTCTCCAAAACTACAAGAAAATGAACTTCCATTGTTTAAGCCACCCAATCTACCGTGTTTGTTATAACAACTTAAGTAGACTAATCTACTATACTTTCTAAATTATCTATAATGAATATGTAGTATTTTCTTTCAAAAATCCACTTTTCTGGATGAGTTCATGTCCTTTGCAGGAACATGGATAAAGCTGGAAATCATCATTCTCAGCAAACTAATATAAGAACAGAAAACCAAACACCACATGTTCTCACTCATAAGTGGGAGTTGAACAATGAGAACGCCTGGACACAGGGATGGGAGCATCAAACACTGGGGCCTGATGGGGGATGGGGGCTAAGGGAGGGATAACATTAGGAGAAATACCTAATGTAGGCGACAGGGTGATGGCTGCTGCAAACCACCATGACACGTGTATAACTACGTAACAACCCTGTACATTCTGCACGTGTACCCCAGAACGTAAAGTATACTTTTTTAAAATCCTCTTTTCCTAGGTCTACAAAAATAGAAAGAGCTAATGATGAAAGAAAGGTGGATGGGGCCTAGACACTAAAGGACCTCAGGTCACCTATACTTACAAGATTCATGCATACAAATATACATCTGGCATACACATTCCCACACATTCATCCTCACTCACTAAGGAAAGAAATGGGAAACTTTAATATGACATAGGCAATCATGCTGTTGCCTTGAGTCCGTTTTATTAATGGAGCCTCATTTTCCTCATCAATAAAAGGGGGTAATACTGAAACCTCCCAGGGGGGCATACTGTGAAAAACAAAGGGGGTCAGGAGCAGGAAAGCCTTCTGTAAGTGACAAGACAACCCAGATGTGAAGAACTACGATTCTTGGGAGATGCCAGAGAGCACTTGTTTTTATTTTGAGGATGACGACAACAAAGTAGAAGACAGAGAGGTCCAACCCTGGGGAAACCTCCCATCGATCACACGCCCTGCAAGTTCTGCACATTAGCTTTCTCTTCCTCCCATCTTGTATTGGCAAAGTCCTCCAGACTCCTTATACATGTACTTAGCCACTTCATGCAGTGTGGTAATAAGGGAGAAGTTTTCACTTTTTTAGCTAAATCACAAACCCTTAAGATATTCATGAGCCTGAATCTCTATTGAATAGTATTGAAGACAGACATTCAGCCATAAAACAGAATGACAGACATAGGTCTTGCAATGTGTGCCTTTTCTGATCTTCAGTTTTCCTTCCCATACAATAGGAGCTGACGCTAAGCCCCATGCAGCTCACTCAGCAGTCCCTGAGACTCAGTGAGACCCAGGAGCTGGCTGTGCTCATAAATTATGTTTCCAAATACCAGGGGCATTTGTAATCATTAGAGAACATGCACAACGGTTATAATGGCAAACTGTGTCCTTTACATTATCCCAGAGGAGGTCTAACAGTAGGTGGCATGGGGGAAGGATTAAGAGATAAACTACAAGCTTCCTATTAAAAACAGAGGATGATTGTTCTCAGCTAACTAATACAGGAACAGAAAATCAAATACCGCATGTTCTCACCCATTAGGGGGAGTTGAACAATGAGAACACATGGACACAGGGAAGGGAACATCATACACCAGGACCTGTCAGAGGGTGGGGAACAAGCGAAGGGAGAGCATTAGGACAATTACCTAATGCATGTGGGGCTTAAAATCTAGATGATGGGTTGATAGGTACAGCAAACCCCATGGCACATGTATACCTATGTAACAAACATGCACTTTCCACTCATGTATCCCAGAACTTAAAGAAAAATAAAAATTAAAAAAACAGAGGATGCCACCTGGTATATGAGGTACTACTCTCCCTCTCACACTCATGGCAGACTTATCTAATTGACCACAGAGCTCTCCTAGGGTCACAAGGACCAGTGTGATTGTTACAGAAGAGAAGACATGGATGAAAAAGGCAATTACCAGAATAGGAATAAGCTCAAAGAGGAAACCATGGTCAAGAGTTTTGTTGTTTTTGTTTTGTTTTGTTTTGTTTTTGTGACAGAGCCTCACTCTGTCACCCAGGCTAGAGTGTAGTGGTATGATCTTGGCTCACTGCAACCTCCACCTCCAGGGTTCAAGCTATTCTGCTACCTCAGCCTCCAGAGTAGCTGGGATTACAGGAGCCCACCACTATGCCTGGCCAACTTTTTGTATTGTTTAGTAGAGAAGGGGTTTCACCATGTTGGCCAGGCCGGTTTCAAACTCCTGACCTCAAGTGATCCACCTGCCTTGGTTTCCCAAAGTGCTGGGATTACAGGCATGAGCCACTGCCCAACCAATCAAGATTTATATGATGCCAAGTCATGAGTCTGCTGGCCTAGATAATGCCACTTGTATCTGGTCCAGGGAGAGAATTATTTTCTAAATTTGGATCTATGCTCAGCCTGGGTGTAGACATTAAGGAGCTTCAGATTGGCCTTTTGAAATTCTTTCTGGACCAAGGACATACATCAATCATTCAATCAGTCTCCATACAGGAAAATTACAGTGATACAGGGCAGGGGCAGAGTTATAGTTTACTCTACCACCACCATCACTAGCAATAGCAACCACTACTGGTACATAAGCTATCTATTGCTGTATAGTAAATTGCCCCCAAACTTAACAGCTTAAAACAATAAATACTTATCATCTCACTTGATTTCTAAAAGTCAGCAATCCAGGAGCAGCTCAGCTGAGTGGCCACGGCTCAGGGTCTCTCATGAGGTTGCAGTCAAGATGTCAACTGGGGCTGCAATCATCTGAAGATGTGATTGGGACTAGAGAATCTGCTTCCACGGTAGCTCACTCATAAAGCTATTAACAAGGGACCTCAGTTTCTTCACATTTACACCTCTTCATAGGGCTGCTTGAGTGTCCTTACAACATGGTAGCTGGCTTCCTGCAGAGCAAGAGCAAGGTGGAAGCTGTGATCCTTTTATGACCTAACTTTGGAAGGGTAATTAAGCTTCACATATTAGAGGGATAGTGTCAGAATTTTGTAGATCTATTTTAAAATCACCAAAACCATCACCAGAAATGCCTCTGAAACACAGTGGGAACTGGGAAGGGGAAGGTATGACAGACAGGTAAAATGCTCTACCTCAACCGGCTTCTGTGTTCAAGACACAAAGTGTTTGGCATCCATGTAGTACACTTAGTGTGTGACTGCTAGCAGATGGATGCTACATTGTATGTTTTCAAGCCAGAAGAGACCTTCTAGATTCTCTATCCAAACTTTTTTTTTTTTTTTTTTTGAGACCAAGTCTTACTCTGTCTCCAGGCTGGAGTGCAGTGGTGCAATCTCAGCTCACTGCAACCTCCGCCTGGGTTCAAGTGATTCTTCTGCCTCAGCCTCCTGAGTAGCTGGGACCACAGGCATGTGCCACCATGTCCGGCTAATTTTTGTATTTTTAGTAGAGACAGGGTTTCACTATGGCCAGGATGGTCTCGATCTCTTGACCTCGTGATCCGCCCACGTCGGCCTCCCAAAGTGCTGGGATTACAAGCGTGAGCCACCATGCCCGGCCCAAACTTTTAATTTTGCAAAAAGGAAGTCTGAGGCCCACAGAGGAGCTATGATTCTCCCAGTTTAAGTTACCCTGATTTCCTGACTCTGGGGCCACAATATTTCTGTGTAGTTCTTGCAGCGCTGCTTGTAAAAGGGCTTTTTCCAAGATTAGGTTGAGATGCCTTAAGAAGAAAATGAGTTCCAGAGAGGATGATTTCAGGGAAAACAGAGACAAAATGAACTTTGGAGATTCTCAGGACCTGCTGAGGCCAGCTTCTGGCCTTGAGATGAGCTGCGCTCATTCTAGGGGATGGCCAAGAGTGAGGCTGGCCAGGAGAAGTGAAAATAGGCCCAGCTGCCTCAATCCACACCTCACAGTAGCCAGGGCAGTAATTGTTTCTTAATGTTTAACATTAACCAGAAACCCCTGCCATGTGGCCAGTTCTTAAGAGCTCAGGAACACAGGGATTGGCTCAAGCCAAGACCTTAAAATGACAAAGAAAACAGACAAAGGTAGCTGAGAGAATTTTTTACATTGTTTTCCAGGTTGTTTATTATATATTTTATACATTTTATGCATCTTTATACTCTAACAATTTGACATGCTCACAGCACTTTATGGTTTTAATTACATAAGTTATGTAGGATATGTTTATATCTCAGATCTTATCTAACCTTCCTAAGGACCCTGGGAAAGTAACAAAAGTAACCGTTATTTTTTGTTTGCTGAGGCGTATCAGCAGAGGGGAGGAGCCCACGGCTCTGGAATCAGACTGCCAGGGCTCAAATATTACCTCTACCGTGTACTAACTGTGTGACGTTGGGGAGAAACATTTGACTTCTCTATGTCTCGGTTTCTTTTTTTTTTTTTTTTTTTTTCGAGACGGAGTTTCGCTCTTGTTACCCAGGCTGGAGTGCGATGGGGCGATCTTGGCTCACTGCAACCTCCACCTCCTGGGTTCAGGCAATTCTCTTGCCTCAGCCTCCTGAGTAGCTGGGATTACAGGCACGTGCCACCATGCCCAGCTAATTTTTTGTATTTTTAGTAGAGATGGGGTTTCACCATGTTGACCAGGATGGTCTTGATCTCTTGATTTCGTGACCCTTGACCCGCCTTGGCCTCCCAAAGTGCTGGGATTACAGGCTTGAGCCACCGCGCCTGGCCTGTCTCGGTTTCTTGATTGGTAAAATGTAAGTGATAATAGTACCTGACTCGAGATTATTGGGAGAGGTGAAGAAGTGAATATTTGTAGAACACAATAGCGCCTGGTTTATTCTCCAAACTTTGTGTGGCCATTAGTCACTACTGATACTAAATGCTTTAGGTCACACATGGTCTCTAGGGCATGAAGGGATAGGTATTGCAGTTCAGACTTGCCCAAGACCATACGGTAATCTGGCCAAATTTCCAAACCCAGGAATTTGGACTAGAAGATCTCCGAGGCATCATTCAAGTAGTTATCCTCAGAAGGTTGGGTGTAAACTGTAAACAAATATGCAGAATCAGTCCTTCTTTTATTCCATTTAATTCAAGAAGATCTGGATGGGGAGATTACATAGTTTAATATAAACACATGTTTAATCTCCACAACAGTCCTAGGAGATTGGTATGTACACTGTTATCCCCATTTTACAGATGAAGAAAGTGAAGCACAGAGAGTCAAGTTGATACAACTGTAAACTGCAGAGCCAAGTTCTGACCTGGGCATGCTGGCTCCAGAGGCCACTGTGCTTACCTGCCTCACTGCATCCTAACTGAAGGGTTTCCTTGTGGTGACACTGATTGAAACATTAGATGAAACGAAATCCTTATGGAAATCGATCGGCAGCAACGGGCTTGATTCTCCATTGTATACTGAGCCATCTAGATTCTTTTAGCAACCTCCGTTAGTGCCATCTGTGTTCCGTATTCCAAGCATAGGGCTGGGGAACACTGGCATTAGAGTCAGAAAAGCCACATGATATATTTTTTCATGCACCTAACGGCCCACTGTCCCTGAATTTGCCGCACACACTCCTGCTTTTATGCCTTTCCCTGTGTTCATCTTTCTGCTGGAATGTGCTGTGCCCACATCTTAATTGGAAGAATGCCTTCTCCTATAAGGTCACCCCCTCTGTGAAGTCTTCTCTGATTTTCCAGGCTTCCAAGAGTTGTTCCATCTTCTGTGATTCCTCAGATTTTGCACTTTCTTGTAGCATTTATTGATAGGTTCACAGTGCTTCATAGTAACACATGTCCTCTTTTTCCATGACCTTTCAACAAAGTGTGACCTGAGGGCAGAAACTGAGTTTTCTTCAACTTTCAGCCTGCAGTGCCAAGGAGAGGACAGGTTCATGGTAGAGGTTTAATAAGCATGAACTGATCAATTAAATGAATGAAAGCCCTTTTCTTGATAGGGTTTCTGTGATTCTATGTGATATTTTTCTCCAGAACATGTGGTTTTCAGGCCAGAGTATGGCTTTCCCACTACGTCTGTTGTAAACAGCTCTGTGAGAGTTTGGCTTCCTGGAATTTTGCTGCATTTTCCTTATAATTATATCCCAATTCTTTCCTATTTGTTTGATACCTCATAATTCCCTGCCTTCTTCCTTGTCTAAGAGTTGCAGGCTGTGCCCTGATTGCCACACTGTTCTAGTCTGGATTGATCTCCTCTCATCAGACAGGCCCTGTTGGCAGCAATTTCTGTTTGGGGGCAGTTTCCTGAAATTTCAGCCTAGGCCAGATCACAGGCTTTGGACTTTATCACTTATTTGGTAAGTGAACATTCTATTTCACTTTGCTAAACTTCCGTTTCCTCATCTGTAGAATGGGATCACTTCTATCTTCCTCCATAGGATGCTGTGAGGATTTAATAAGTTGTAAACTACTACGCAAAATACTAGCACATCTTAGGCACTTAATAAATGCTCTACCTTTCCTTATGCAGACAAGATATGCTTTTCCCTGTAATGCACTGCATTCCCCATAAAAACAGGGATAAGAATACTTACTGTGCACGGTTATGAGAAATAAAGTCCATAGAATGGTTTCAATTATTGTGGATACACACATCCCCGCCCAGTACTCTCTTTGGACACCATGTTATTAAGCAGAAACTTACAAATAGAGATGGTATTTTTCTGTGGCTCAAACCACACTGCACTGCACCTATTTGTTATACATAGCACAATGGATGAACAAGTGCTATGGGAACAAGCATGGGAGAAGAGTGATGAGCTCTCCTTGGGGAGGTGGGCAGGGCAGACGTCAGGAGGACAAGACTTGCAGGGACAGAAAGATGGGGAAGGAACAAAGCAGCCCTCCCTCCTCAGACCTCAAGACTGAGAGAGGAGACAGGTCTAAGAGTAGGGACTCGGAACTCAGTCCAGCCTGAGGAAAGTAAATGTAAGACAATAAAAAGGAGGCTTTGAGTCAGAAAACCAAGGCTAAGTTCTGGCACCATTCACTAGCTAACCAACTTTGGGCAAGTTTGTGAGCCCCTTTCCTCATCTGTAAAATGGGTTGGATAATCACAGCTTGTACCATATAAGAGTTTACATCAAAATTACACAAGGTAATATATATGGACACAGTTTAAACTACAACAAGGTGTGCCATTGGGAGAAAGTCTTTTAATAATCTTGTAGTCTGTTTTCAATCTTCAAGCCTCTAGGTCACCTGCCAAACCACTTTGCCAAGAATTCCTTAAGATGCCATCTAAAATGCTTTGCCCAAATCCAAAGATTCTAGGAAGCTTTGGTAAGAAGATTGGCAACCAGGGTATCTTCCAGTGCTTGTTCAGGAGAATCTTATCTTAAACCATCCTTGCTGTTTTCAATACTGACTATGTAAGACCAGAAGGGGAAGAAATCATAGAATACAGTCCATCATTCCATATCCAGAGAGGCTTGGTTCCAAGAACCACCCACAGATACCAAAATATACAGATGTTCAAATCCCTTATATAGAATGGCACAGTATTTGCATATAATCTATGCACATCCTCCTGTATACTGTAAAGCATCTCTAGATTACTTATAATGCCTAATGAAGTGTAAATGTTATGTAAATGGTTGTTATTCACTATTAGTTGTTTATTTGTATTTTATGGTTATATTGGTTTTGTGTTGTTTTTTTCCGAATATTTTTTATTTGTTGTTGGTCTAATCCTCAGATGAGAAACCTGTGGATATGGAGGGATGACTGTAATTAATAAGGCACACAATTATCATTCTCTTTATCATAAATTATCACTTCAAATACTAACATTATCAAATTATTATTTTTGTTCTCTTGGCCATAAAAGCTAATCTTTTGTATTTTTAATTTGGATGTGGGCTCTTGACAGGTGGGGTCATGTGTAAATGAAATTGTATTTGAACATCCACACATGTTGCATACAGAACCTTGGAGCCGTGCCCAGGCAATTCTTTCATGTGCTGCCATCCAAGAGGAGGTCTCATTTAAAACTAACAACCAATATTCCTTCACCCTCCAAGTGTAAACAGAACTCTGATCCCAGAACTTGCTATTGTGCATCTCTGGTGGGCATTAGCCCATGTTGAATAATTCATCATGACTGGTGGTCACAGTGTTAGAAAAAAAACACTTTTCTGTCCCCAAACCCTCAAAATAAGAGTAGACATTCAATAAATGAAATATGATATACACTTTACAAACTTTTCTTTGATTTTCATAATGCCACCACAAAGTAGGTATTATTGTACCCATTTTACAGGTGAGAATGTTGGTAGGGTCATCTTGAAGTAACTTTGGGCATCAATAGAGGCAGAACCAAGAGAATGGGCTAGAAGTCTATCATCACAACTCAGCAAATATTGTTTCAGTGCCTACCATGTAAAAAGTCACTTTAAGGCCAGGCATGGTGGCTCACACCTGTAAGAGAAAATTGATTCCACTTTGGTAGGCTGAAGCCAGCAAATCACTTGGGTCCAGGAGTTCCAAACCAGCATGGGCAACATGGCAAAACCCCATCTCTACTAAAAATACAAAAATTAACCAGGTGTGGTGGTGCACCTGCAATCCCAGCAACTTGGGAGGCTTAGGCATGAGAATTGCTTGAACTCAGGAGATGGAGGCTGCAGTGAGCCAAGATTATGCCACTGCCCTCCAGCCTGGGCAACAGAGGGAGACTCAAAAAACCAAAGTCACTTTATTAAGATTGAAGATATGAGGATGAACAAAACAGGTTTAGTCACTGCACTTGTGGAACTCACAGCTTGGAGGTTCATCAGATTTACAATCACTTCTTTGTAGTGTAAGGAAGATAGGTAGCATACTGGGAGAGGAGTTGAACTGGGTTGAGATGGTAAAGAGAGGTAGGGTAGTCGCAGTAGAGCAGGAGTAAGGAGTAAAACAGGGTCTGGGGAGTTTAGAAGGTAGAACTTTGCATGCAGAGGGAGCAGAGGGGTGCAATTCAGGGGAAGGGGGAGAGTAAAAGAGAAGCAGCAGGGAGGGGGTGGATCAAGAGGATGGGGAGCTGGGCAGAGCTATTCAGGGGCTCCAGCTCCATCCTGACAACTCCAAAGGGCATCTTCAAGGTCTTTTCTGGGACAGACATGCACAGATTAATGTGCCCCAACTTGCCTCTTACCCCCATTTATCCTCCTTACTGCAACCTCAGTGGACATAATGCAATTCATTGCAAGGTGGTCCATGGTCCAAGTCAGGAATGTTGGTGCCGGGTGTGGGCTATGACACTGGAGATGGGGAAGAGTGGATGAATTCAGAGGTCCTGAGGAGGCAGCAGGACTCTGGAGCCACAGAAAAGCCCCAGCCCCCTGCTGCCAGGGCACCGATAAGGGATGCTATGGAGATGAGGAATGAAGATCAAGGGAAAAGCAAGAGAGACTCCCAAGCCAGGATGTCGACTTGAATTACATTGTTTGCCAAGGTATACTTTTTTCTTTTCTTGTTCTTTCCTTTTCTTTTTTCAATCAGATGCATATTATATAAACTATTCTCTTTTAAAAGTTTATATGGGACCATAACCCTGTTTTATATATGGGAAAAGGCTGACTCCCTGTGGGTTTTCCATATTTTCATATTACCATAATTCAAACAATGTGATGAATCGACTTGCTGTAATTTCTGAAGCTGGACTGAGAGAAGCTGAGTTTTATGGAGACTTTATTGAGCTGTGCCCTGGGGCTGGGGGCAGTCCTTGGAGAAAAGGGTTTTTGAGGGTGGGATTTACATACTGTTCACTGTGTGCCAGGGCAGTCATCCCTCCAGAAATTAACATGAATGTTTTTTGGCATATGAGAAACACTTAGGGGTTAAGTGACTTGCCCATGGACACCCAGCTGTTAGGTGGTAGAATCTGCTAACTCCAAGTCCAGCACTCCTTCCCTGATGGGGTGCCCCTCCAGGAACAGACAACACAAACTAGTGGACCTGGCTCTGAGGAAGCAGAAGCCTCCTGGGGTATTTTTTCTGTCTCTCCAGCTTTTCCGCACTGTTTGTTTAACCTGAATGGGTCTCTTCACTGTGCCTAAGCATCCCCTTCTCCAGTCACACAAAGGAGCAAGCAGGGGCTGCTCCCCTTACAATCAATTTTCTCTTCTGACAAAGACGTTCCCAAGCTGGCAGACAGAGCATCAGGGTTCTAGCCCTAACTCCAGGCCCCGTGTTCCTTCTTCCACTCCCCACTGCTTCAGTTAGATAATTCAACTGATGAACAAGGGAGTCATGTGTTCAATCTAAGAGTCTCTTCCACATCTAAACAGATAAGAGGGAATATTCAAATCATATACTCTTGAAGGCTGGGGGGATTTGATCTTTCTTTTCTGGAATAGGTCAGCATTCCTATCCCATTTTACTCATGAAAAAATTAAATTTGGGAAATGTGGGTAATTTGCCTGGGATATTTAGTAACACGGTCAGGATTTGAACCCAGGTTTCAGATGTAAGAGTCCCCAGTACAGTCTTCAGCAATAGTAGGTATTCAAAATGTCTATTCCCTTGCATGCTTCCAAATCTCTGCTGATCCCTGCCCTTCTCTGGAAAGTAGACACCTACCAGCATTTTCCCAGCATGAAAATGTTCCCTGGATACCTGTGCCTTCATCTCAAAGGTGTGCCATAAGTACACCTCTAAGGAATTAACAAGCCCACGTGTGGCATAGCGGAGAGAGAAGGCTGCACTAAGGTGTCATAAAGGACTTTGGTAGAACTTTACAGGAGTGAGCCCTCTGGCTGGGCAGGGTACAGGAGTAAGGTAGAGGGTGGGGGTAGAAAGCTGAGCAGATCGGAGAGGTAGGCAGTCAGCCCTGCTGGAGAAAGAGGAGCTAAGAGAAAGCCACAGCCTCCATGGGAGAGTGCTGAGCTCAGATCCTGGTGCCGGGACTCACCGTGTGATCCAGGGCAAGTTCCTTCCCTCATGAAGCTTATCTATGCATTAACAAATCTGCATGTAAGAAAATGGTCTAAAAACAGAAATGAGAAAGGGAAGAGGCAGGAGAAGAGGAAGAACAGATTGTTTCAATCTGCTCAGGTTCATAGTGAGGCCAGTAGCTCATCTCCATTCCCCGCCTCCTTCCACCCTGCACCCTCCTGCCCCCACACTGACCATGCACACTCAATAGTTGTGCATAGGCTGTTCTTGCTAACAGAAAAGGTTTTTATTATCTTCTCTGCCTGGATAATTCATAATCCATCTTTCAGGTCTCAGGTCATGTCACCTCCTCCATGATGTCTTCCTTGACTCCTCTCTCACCTCTACCCACCCTCAAACATGTACTCCTTTGAGTTTTAACAGCACTGTATACACCCCAGGGAAGGCATCTGTTACCTTGTTATCATTGTGGTAGTACTATTACTAATGGCATAAAGGTGCTATTTAAGGAACACTTTATTGTTTTTTTGGCCAGACACAGTGTTAGGGTCTTTTTACAAATTATGTATCATTTAGATTTCATCACTATGCCATAAATTAGGTATTATCTTCCCAACTTTAAAAGTAAGGTAACTGAGGCTCTAAGGGATTGGCGGTTTTACTACTGTGTAACTCAGGCAAGGGGCAATGCCTGTATTCAGGGCCAGGTCTGATTTCTTTATACTTCCTTACTGTTCAACCTGAACAAAGAAGTAATAATTGGCAATGAATGAAATGATGCATTAAGTCACAATGGACAAGGCGGGGCTTAAGTGTGAAGCATGGCTTTAAGCAAGCATCCCAGAACATCCCCACCCAGGTATAAAAACAGACCTTGGCCAGGCACGGTGGCTCATACCTGTAATCTCAACACTTTGGGAGGCCAAGGTGGGCAGATCACCTGAGGTCGGGACTTTAAGACCAGCCTGACCAACATGGAGAAACCCTGTCTCTACAAAAAACACAAAATTAGCCTGGTGTGGTGGTGCATGCCTATAATCCCAGCAATTTGGGAGGCTGAGGCAGGAGAATCGCTTGAACCTGGGAGGCGGAAGTTGCAGTGAGCCAAGATCGCACCATTGCACTCCAGCCTGGACAACGAGCCAGACTCCATCTTGAAAAAAAATAAAGACCTTAAGGTTCATGTAAGTTAACCATAAGGAAAGATCTAGAAGGTCATGGGCTGGCCTTAGGCACAGAGATGTCTTTGGCACCTGTCCAGATGTATTTCCCAACTTCTGGTGGGTGATCCTTTTCAAACCCCTACTTCCCAGAGCTCTGTGTTAGAGACTGGCCTATTTTTCTTCCCTGCAATAGAAACCTTTCCGTCTGTCCTTAGAGACAGAAGGAGCACCAAGCCTCTGTATTTCTTGGTTGTGCTCTCCCAATTAAGCAAAGAAGCCAACCGAAGACTCCTTGAGACAAACTAATTGCATCTTAACAGGCTCTGTGCCTGCCAGCTTTGGCCTAGATTCAGATTTTATAGGTCACTTAGCCCCATACCCAGGGTTTATGATGGAAACACTGACAAAGCTTCACTGATAAGGCTGCAGAGGGCCCAGGAGACCAGAAAACCTAGTAATTTTCCAGAGTCTAAACCCAGCCTCTACTCTAGGGGCCCTTCACTAAGCAGGATTCTGAAGCGTCAGCCAAGAGGACCCTGGCACAGGGCTGTTCGTTTCCACTCCAATGCACTCCAGAAATTTGGTAGGATACCTTGCTGGGATTTTTAATGACAAGTTTCTCCTTTGGCATCACCTGGTATCCAATTAGTTTTCCCATTCTTTGGGATGCTCAATCATTCATTCATTTGTTCAATCATTCATCAAATTCTGAGCTCCTCTGCCAGGCTGTGCTGGACACTAAAAAGAAGTACTACTTGGGTGATTAATTTTAAATGCTGCTCTATTAAGGTCACTCCACTCAGCCAGGTATTCATTGAATGACTTGTCAAGGCTCACAGTTCCCATCAAGCCTGCCATGTGGGACTTTGTGCACTGCACAATTCACATAGACTATGATCCCGTCAACTACTCTCTGGTAGATAACAGAAAATAGAGAAGAATTAAAAGAAAACAGAAAATGAAAATATCATCTATTCAGTCTATTATAGAAGAAAGAACATTCAAAATAAACAAGGCCGCTGGGTCATACAGCAATTCCCTAGCTCTTAGAGAAATTTACAATTTGTCTCTAAAACAGAAAAACAAAATCAGATATATCATTCCTTTGTTTAAACAAGGCTTCTCAACCTTGGCACTGTTGATGCTTTTGGCCAGATCTTTTCTTTGTTGTAGGAAGGCTGTCCTGTGCCTTGTAGAAGGCTTAGCAGCACTCTTGGCCTCTACCCATGAGATATCAGTAGCAACTTCCACCTCACCATTGTGACAAGAAAAAAATGTCCCCAGATGTTGCCAAACGTCTCAGCCGAAGGTGGATAGAGAAGGGGCAAATAGTCCTTAGTTAAGAGTCAATGGTTTAAAATAAACTTTTCTCCCTTTCTAGACCTTATCACCCTCTGAGCGAAGTTTAAGACACAGGTTTTCACGCTGCTTATCGATCCAGCCTCATCACATGTGCCATACCTTTGCCCATGTACTTTCCCCTGCATGCAAACATCAGCCCCACCCCCCCACCCCCAATCTCACTTGGTTTACTCTCCTTGTCCGGCAAGACTCAGCTTGGGTCCCCTAACTCGTGAAGCCCATGTGGACCCATCCCTTCTCCCTCAGCAATTGAATCAGCCCCTCTGTGGAATCCTTGGCATCTCTCTACACAACACTTAGACTCCTGGGAGTATCAACTCTTGTGAAATTATTTGCTGATTTGGGGGCAGTAACTATGTATCCATAGCACTTAGCAAAGTCCTGGCTCAGAGACATTTATTTAGAAATTGTTCTATCTTATTCAAGTTGAATGAAGGATTAAAAAATAAAATAAAAGCCTACACCCTCCACCAGCATGCCCTGCAGAATTATCTATGACTTTTGGCCAGAGAGCCAGTGCTCTCGACTCCATTGCTAACCAGCTTTCTGATTACCAAGTCTGTTTGGCTCTCTAGTCTGCCTCAGTTTCCTTATATGTAAATCAGGAGTCTCTTTGATCTTTCTCTCTCATGATTATTTTAAGGCACAAATGAGTTATTCTATGACCCCTTAGTAAATTTCCATTCATTGTATGAATGTGAGGGGTTATGATACTGCCAAATAATAAGATCCTTGAAAGCATAAATGTTGAACTGAAACAAATATATTTGAAGAATTCTTCTTTCTTTATATGAAAAGTTGGCCATATCCTGAATGTAAAGAGTATTTTATTTGTCTGGATTTTTTTTCTTTCCTTCAAAAAATAAGGCTTACCATTTGCTGATACCTACCTACCAAGACTCTTAGTATTTCAATTAAGGAATGTTTTACTTCTCCCTGGACTGGAATTCTAAGAGTTTCTTTAATTTCTTTGAAGTAGGTCACACCTTTAACTGGAGGACATTTTTCTACCAGACATGCAGCCCATAGAATCTTCAGTTTAAACAATTTTGTAGAATGATAATAATTAGAATAGAAAACTTTAGAAGAGGAGCTGCTTCTAAAGACATTTCAAAGACAAAAAAAAATGCATTTGGTTTAAGAAAATCAAGTTGAAAGACATCTTTTAAAAATTTAGTGCCATTATGGGTTGAATTGTCTCCCATAAGAAAAGATACGTGAGGTTCTAACCTCTGATACCCGTGAGTGTGACCTTATTTAGAAATAGTCTTTGTAGATATAACAGTTAAGATTAAGTCATACTGTTTAGGATAGGCCATAATATAATGGACATCCTTATAGGACAAGGAGAAGAGACACAGACCCAGGGGAGAAAGCCATCCGAAGACAGAGCCAGAGGTTGGAGTCATGCAGCTACAAACCAAGGGACATCAGGGATTACTGGCAACCACCAGAAGAGAGGCCTGCGGCAGATTCATCATCAGTACCTCCAAACAGAACCAGCCTTGCCAAAAGCTGGATTTTGGACTTCTAGTCTTCAGACTTATGAGAACCACACACAGTGGCTCATACCTGTAATTTCAGAACTTTGGGACACCAAAGTAGGAGAATCACTTGAGCCCAGGAGTTGGAGTCCAGCCTGGGCAACATGATGAAACTTCATCTCTACAAGATAAATATGTTGAAAAATTAGCCAGATGTGGTGGTATGCACCTGTAGTCCCAGCTATTTGAGAGGCTAAGGTGGAATGATGACTTAAGTCCAGGAGGTCAAGGCTGCAGTGAGCCATGATCATGCCACTGCACTTCAGCTGGGTGACAGAGCAAGGTCCTGTCTCTAAAATATATATATATATATATATATATATATGAGAAAATAAATTTCTGCTGTTTTAAGCCAACCAGTCTGTGATATTTTGTTTTGTTGGGGCAGTCCGAGGAAACTAACACAAACACTCTAGCCTAAATCATGAAGTGTTTCCTCAAATGAAGTCTTCCTTTACCCACAGTCTATTACAAAATCTAGACAGAAAAACAGACAATAACAACAGATTGGGAGCCCCCACCCCTCAAGATGGGAAGCATTTAAAGAGTACATACTGCTTTTGACCCACTCTGTGTCTTCAGCACCTGCGATCACGAGAACACAGAGCAAGTGCTCAGTAAACCCTGGTTTTCTGAACAAAATTGAAGCAAGCCCCAGGAGACTCATAGAGCCTTAGGTTGGGGCTGATCCAGGAGAATAATCATTTTTCTGCAGTTACAAAGAGACAAAGTAAAATGTATGCCCTGAAGGAGAGTTCTGAAACCCAGTCTAGAGAATATTTCTAGGCAATGGCGCTGGCAATTAGTATGCCAGGTGCTAAGAAAATAGGAATAGTGAGGAAAGTGGGTCAGAACCTGCCAACCAGAAGTTGCCTTGATGATCACACAGATGAAGCACCCCACCCTGGAGTGCACAGACATGAACACTCTGGGAGTCTAGTAGCTATTACTTAGTTTTTTGGCTGCTCAGTATTCGATCCCTATTCCTATTAGGGAGGAGTCTTTATATACACTATTAGTAGACACAGTGCCCTCCTTATTACTGTCACAACTGAAGATGAAAGATGTTCTATAAGTGCACGCCTTAGAAGCCACAGCACAAACACATAACCTAGTCCCACCTCTCAGGCATGAAAGCAAAGGATACAAAGTTGAAGGAGTAGTTAGATTTATTCACGGCAGGCACAATTGATTCCAAGTATGAGGAGTCACAGTGAGTAGGGAGTGATGTGAGGCCAACTGCCATCTACCCAGACTCATGTCTTTGCCTAGTAGCATAACAAGTACAGCAATACTGCTGTCCTCTTTCCCATTCCCCACTGATTTTTTTTTTTTTTTTTTTTTTTTTTGTGAGACAGGGTCTCACTCTGTCACCCAGACTGGAGTGCAGTGGTATGATCTCGGTTCACTGCAACCTCTGCCTCCCAGGTTCAAGCGATTCTCCTGCCTCAGCCTCCTGAGTAGCTGAGATTACAGGTGCCCACCACCATGCCCCACTAATTTTTGTAGTTTTTTTAGTAAATTTGAGGCTTCACCATGTTGGATAGGCTGGTCTCAAACTCCTGACCTCAGGTGATCCACCCATCTCAGCCTCCCAACGTGCTGGGAATACAGGTGTGAGCGACCAGCTCAGCCACCACTGATTTTTTTTCATGAGAAGTATGATATATGTGATTATCAAGTTTTAGGGGAAGAAATTAGACTACTACTTCCTTCTCTTTTTTTGACTGGTCTGCCTAAAGGAACGCACAGATTTTACTTCTCCATGCCATGAGTTGACTGTGGCAGGTTCTAGCTACAGGACAAGACCTGTCATGGTTCTGCTATGCCAATAACCAGGAGGAAGTGAAAATTCAGGAATGAGATATAAGCAAACCCACTTGGCCTCAGATCTAAAGCCACGTTCTCCAACCAGCATTTTGAATAATAAATGCAATGTTTTAATATATGATTACTCTTTCTGTCTCTCAATGGGCTTTAAGCTTAAAATGGGAAGAATGTTATTTATTGGGTCCCAGGGAACTCAGAGGGGGAATTCTAGGCACTAATGTCATCACCAGTGTTTGACAGTTGACAGATGATACTGATTTTGAAGAAAGAGAATTAGGAGGTATCTCCAACACAAACTGCTATTCTAAATTTGTTCCTTACAAGAAGTAAATTATCAGTATCTGACTTGGTAGACAGTGACTGGAATTTTTCTATACCAAGTAACAGAAAACGCTGGCAGAAGTTTGCTTTTACCTAGGAGAAACAGTATACAATGGAAGAATAGATACAACCGTTCTGTCTCAAGGAAGTATCAAAACTCCTGGTGTGTGCCGTAGCTTAAGCCACAGGGACCTTGACCATATTCCTCTCCCAGGTGGCAGAACGTCAGTTCACTATATCAATTGCCTTATGTTGTCAGGACCAAAACATAGGAAACAGCAAGCACCATAGATAATTTTGGTAGGATACATGCAAGCCATAAATCCTACAGAAAAAAAAAAATCCTATGAAAATGTAGAGACTTAATTTCTGTGAATTCCATGAGTGCCAGCATTTGAAGGCATTTTGCAATAGGCACTCAAAAATGAATGTTAAGGTACCTTGTGCTTCTGCCACTTAGAAAGAGGGACAATAATTGCTGAGCCTTGGAATTTTGGTGGCAACATATACTACACTTATATATGCCATGTTAACCCATTTGGGGAGTAAACTACCAGCTTTGAGCGGAGTACTCACTAGAAAGGGATCTTGGCCTAGCCCAGGCTGTAATGCAGTCAGTGGTGCAGCTCGTATATGATGACCCAGCAGATCCAAGAGTGTTTCTTAGAATGCTGTCCAGCACCTACAGCAAGCCTCCAAACAAGAATCACAATAAAAAGCCCTTGAAGTCTAAGGGCAAATCTGGGACCTATTTGGCAAATGATTATGCCCCTTTTATAAAGCACCTTTTGGATTGCTACTGGGCCCTTTTGGCAACTGAATAACTGAAAGAGGGACACAAGATAAGCCCTCACCCCAAGCTGGACACCATGAACTGAGTGTTAGGTCTTCCACCTGGCCAGAAAGTTGGCCGAGCCCAGCAGCAGGCCATCACCATGAAAATAGCACCTGTGGGACCAAGCTTACAGGTTCTTATGGCACAAGCAAGTGTCATAGGCAGCCTGCTCACACTCCCGCAATGCCCACTCCTGACATAATTCATCTCGTTCAGCAACACATATGTACAGCTACATGGGGTGACACCTCATACTGGTGGACTGAGACAGAAACTACCCAGAAACCATAGAGAAGGGATATTTGCACAGGAAGCAAAACTTCAGTCAGTACCTTTTTAAGTCCATTTTGCGATGCATGGAAGGAAAAGAGGGAAGAAGAAAGGCAGACAATGGCTTTGTGCTCATGGGATTCTTTTGGTTTTAGAATAAGGCCATGAACAGAAGCTACTGTACTCATGAAATAGTGTCCTGGTGAGTTAAAGAATAATTACCCATGTCAGCAGGTAACATCTCACAAGATGGAGTATTATCCTGCAGAAAGTAATGAATACTCTGAATGGGGGAATGATGTTTTTTCTCATAGCCAGAATAAAGCATCCAGAACCAAGGGACAAAAGAAAGATTTGCACTTCTCATGCCCCACTTATAACTTTTGCTTTCCATTCCTACAATTTGGGGATCTGTTAGTTCAGTGACTTGGGAGAAGCTATGCTTTGGGGAGGAATGCTTCCACAAAGGGGCATAACAACCATCACACTGAACTGGACCTTCAGGTCACGTCAGACTCCTTTATGTCCCTGAGAAAACAGGCCAAGAAGAGGCCATCACCAAGCTGACCATGGTTTATGATCCTGATTGCCAAAGAAAAACAGGATTGCCAACTATGGGAGCAGGCAGAAGTAAGATGAAACTTAGGGACCCCCCTCCACCAGTGGCTCCTACTTCTGCCATATCTAGCAGTAAAATCAGTGGAAAACCTCTTCAGCCCAATACACACCAAGGGCTCACATCCCTCAAAACTAAACTTTGGGGCACCCACCAGGGTGACCAGTGAAGGGCTCGCTGAAGGCAAAAACAAAGCCAAACATTGAAATGAAATAATAAAGAGAAGCCACAAACACCAGTCATGGAGAAATGAAGACCATAGTCTCTGTCTCCTTCCTTCCTGATAGTGTCAAGTGTTTCTATATTTTACTGCCGTTTCCTCTTCTTTCCTCTCCATTTGCCCCACTATTACATATGTGGCTAATGGTAACAGTGAACTTTACAATTAATCCTTGGGCTTGAGAAATAACTAGAGGCATAGTAGGGCTACAGTAACTGGTCAGGCTTTTGTTTTTGTTCTTTTGGGAGAGGCTGATACCATTTCAGTTGTAAGAAAAATATGTATGTGTGTGTGTATGTGTTCGATAAGCAGATATAGAGAGATTTGTGTGGAGGTGGGACATTCAAAGAAGTAGGCAAAGGAGGATGTTTGTTAGCTCTTCTTGGCTGTGCAGCCACATCTCAATTAGTTGGAGGGAAACCCCACAGTGAGGAGCAGCCTACCGTCTCTATCAAAGCCTGAGTGGTGGGGAAACCCTCCCTCTTCCCTGCCCCAGCTGCCAACAAATTTGCCCAGGTGAGTGAGGATTGGGGTTCACTCACAGCCGCTGTCCATGGTGAGGGCACCATGGATGATCAACCTAGCCATCTTCCAAAAGGTGAAGGTTTGCTTCTTGCTCTTTGTCTCCCTGATCATTCTGTCTAGTTCTGAAATCTGAACCTCTAGAATCTGCTGAATCTGGAACCTCTAAAATACCCTTCCAACAATTTTGTGGAGGATAGAAACTAATTTCCATTGCTTGGAACTGAGAACCTTGCTGAAAGTAGTGTGACTGTAAGTACATGGTTGATCTAGATTCACTTGAAGGGTCCTGAGTAGAGCAGATGATGAAAAGAAGGTTTTAAGTACTATTTACAATAGCAAAGCCATGTAACAAACCTAAGTGCCCACCAACGTTGATTAGGTAAAGAAAATGTGATACACATATGGAATACTCCACAGCCATGAAACAGAGAGAAAGCATGTCCTCTGCACCAACATGGATGGAGCCGGAGGGCATTATCCTATGTGAAGTAACTCAGAAGCAAAAAATCAAATATCGCAAGTTCTCACTTGTAAGTGGGAGCTAAACAAAGAGGACAAAAGATGGGGACACAGACAGAAACATGCCCATAAACATGGACATAAAGATGGGAGAAAAATAGACTCTAGGGACTCTAAAGGGAAGAAAGCAGGAGGAGGGGGATGGTTGGAAAATTACCTACTGGGTACAATGTCCAATATTTGAGTGATGGGTACACTAGAAGCCCAGTCCCCACTATTATGCATGTAATGCTCATGTAACAAACAGGCACATGTATGCCTGAATCTCAAATAAAAAATAAATAAGGAAAGACTTTAATAGATATTAATTGGCATTATGTTCTAGCCATTGTGGGAAGAGGCTGGCCCCTTCACATGCATGCAAAATCTCATTTTACCCAATACAACCCTATGAAGTCAATAGTATTCCTGCACCCATTTTAAAGATGAGAAAACTGTGGCACAGAAGGGTTAAGTAACTTTTGCAAGTCACACAGCTAGAATGTAGAGGTGTGTGTACGAGTGTGTTAAGGTCAGGAGCTTCGGAGAAGACCCAACTCCATGAAGGGTCCCATCATCTGCATCTCCTGGAATCTCATCTGACCTCTGCTCTCCTTCCTTTCAGGAGAATGCCTTCTCCAAGCAGCTATTTTTATGGGAACCAAAGGATACTGATCAGTAGCAAGGTTTGACCAGGTGGTCCTGGCTTGAGGAAGATAAGAAGCCTTTCCTTCACATGGGTCTAAGGAGCTCACCATTTTTCTCAACATCTGACCTGACAACTGGTTTCCCAGCATTGGCCCCAAGAAATACACCTGCCATCTCCACCTGGATTCTCCAGCCCTTAAAGCCACAGCATTCCATCTTCTTTCCCCAGCAAGATGTATGGGATAACCTGTTTGCAGCATCCTCAAAAGTCCTTGCAGGTAGGAGCACCTGAGGGAGAGGAAAAGACAGGCCATGCCCAGCTCCAGTGAGTAACATACGTGTAAGTATTTAGGCTGGCTGAGGGTGGCAATCAGGACCCCTGTTTTTAAGGAAGCCTTCCCAGGGTTTTACAGTGCAGGGTTCCTTGTCATCCTCAAGGATTTCTTTACTCCTAACCCTGAAAAAACCCTAAGGGAAGAACTTCAAAGCTGCTTTCTCATTATAAATCTCACAGCCTGGGGAAATTCTGCTCACCCAAGTAAAACCCCACATTGGGGACTCATCAGGAGGTTTCTGAGGTTTCCCTGGCTTTATTGGATAGTCTTCTCCCAACACCCCTTGGGGTTCTTGTTCAGTGAGCTTACTTAGCCGGGTTGTACGTTCTATCATTCTATCCAAATACTGCTTACCCGTTCTATCATTCTATCCAAATACTGTTTCTCCTTAGGCACTTCCCCTGAAACATCACATCTCCAGGAAGCCTCCCTCAGACTGGATGGGTTCCCCAAAGCACGTTGCCCTTATCTCTAAAACAGCACAGGTACATCCTGATGGTTAATATTGTCAACTTGATTGGATTGAAGGATGCAAAGTATTGATCCTGGGTGTGTCTGTGAGGGTGTTGCCAAGGAGATGAACATTTGAGTCAGTGACTGGGAGAGGCAGACCACCTTCATTCTGGGTGGGCACCATCTAATCAGCTGCCAGCATGACTAGGATAAAGCAGGCAGATGAATGTGGAAGAGCTAGACTTGCTGAGTCTTCTGGCCTCTATCTTTCTCCCATGCTGGATGCTTCCTGCCCTCAAACATCACACTCCAAGTTCTTCAGCTTTTGGACTCTTGGACTTACACCAGTGGTTTTCCAGGGGCTCTTGGGCCTTTGGCCACAGACTGAAGGCTACATGGTCGGCTTCCCTGCTTTTGAGGTTGTGGGACTTGGACTGATCCACCACTGGCTTCCTTGCTCCTAAACTTGCAAACACCCTATTGTGGAGTGTTACCTCGTGATCATGTGAACCAACTCTCCTTACTATACTCTCTTTCCTATATACGTAGATCCTATTAGTTTTGTCCCTGTAGGGAACCCTGACTAACACATACATCCTTGAGTGCCTAAGGTCTTCTAGCCCAGCAGTTCTCTATGGGGGCAATTACTGAAACTTTGGGCAACTTCTGGAGACATTTGTGGTTGTCACAAATAAGCAGGGTGCTACTGGCATCTGATGGGAAGAGGCCAGGGATGCTGCTAAACATCCTGCAGTGCACAGGACACTCCCCACAACAAAGAATAATCTGGCCCCAAATGTCACTAGCAGGGCTGGTTTCATGGGCGGCCACATGAGCAGCAGACAGGAACCAGCTCTCAGAAAGGATCTGCATTTGTTTAATGCTATGCTAGTGCCGTGTTGAAATTCTTAGCAACTGTTGAACAAAGGTCTCCGTATCTTTGTCTGGTACTGGGTCCCACAAACTGTGCAACTTGTCCTGGCCAAGAGTGTAGAGGTTGAGAAACCCTGTTCTTGTCCTATAACAGGGGTGTCAAAATGAAGATGTTATCCTGCCCTCAAGGAGCCATTATCCAGTGATGGAGAAGGAATTGTGTATTTCCCTGTCTGTGTGCTGGGACAGGGAAGCTTGGAGGAGGGAGTGCCTGACCCAGCTTGGAGCTAATTCCTGAGAGATGAGTAGGAGTTAACCACACAGAGAGGAGAGGAGAAAAAGGGTCCAAAGAAAGATACAGCATGTTCAAAGGCACCAGACCCTAAGAAGGTCAAGCCTGTGTCAGGGACTCCAGGAAGTTCTGTACAGCCAGAAGACAGAGCATGGCAAAATAAGAAACCAGGCTGGAAGGCTGGTAGGAGTCAGGTCTCAATCACATCAAGGAGGTTTTGAAGGATCTTAAGTAAAGTAGCAACACAATTAGATTTCGTTTGGGAAAGACAATCAGAGGTGATATGGCAAACAGATGGGAGGATGATACATTGAACAGGGAGCCCAGGTTAAAACTGGAACAGTAAAAGAACTAAGAAATGCTAGAGCTGAATGCAGTAAGGCCCCACAAATTACGTAGCCAGTCTAGCAGCAGTACAGCAGGGAGGGAGAAATTGACTCAAAAGATAAAGAGGTAGGTTACTGAATGGATACCATGTTTATTTTTATTAGCTTTTTACTATATCTTTTCTTTTGAGATGGAATCTCGCTGCTGTTACCATGGGCTGGAGTACAATGGCACAATCACAACTCACTGCAACCTCCCCCTCCAGGTTCTAGCAATTATCCTGGCTCAGCCTCCCAAGTAGCTGAGATTACAGGTGTCTGCCACCACGCCCAGCTAATTTTTGTATTTTTAGTAGAGACGGGGTTTCACTATGTTGGCCAGGCTGGTCTCAAGCTCCTGACCTCAGGTGATCTACCTGCCTCAGCCTCCCAAAGTGCTGGGATTATAGGCATGAGCCACCACACCCGGCCTTACTGTCTCTTTTTATCCTAACAACAGATTTACAAGGAACATGGCATTTTCTTCATTTTATCATTGAGGCAATTGATGCTGAGGAGATTAAATAACTTGACAAAAGTCACCCAGCTGGTTAGTGGCAGAGCCGGCATCTGAAGGTAGGCATGTCTGAAGCCAATGCCATGCCTATGTCTTTCCACAAAGCCCCACAGCAAACTCTGAAGCACACTGCGATCCAGCAGGTGACTGAGTGAGAACACGCTGAGACCCGGGCCAGCTGCTCTCTGCCTCACTCTGTTCCTCCAGCCTGTGGCCCACTTCGGAGCCCACAAGGGGTTGTATGCCAAACTTCTCACTTTCTAGTGTCAAGTTGCTTTCTTGGCACATAGTAGATAATTAATAACAAATAAAGAAAGAGAAAAACTGTGGCAGAAATGTGAAAAGACTCAAATCATTTGTCATCCAGTATCACTAAGAATCAAAGAAAAGCAAATTAAAATCCTAACAAAATACCATCTCTGCCTATCAAATTGACTGGAGGCAAGTCATTGGGTACAATCTTTCTGAAAAGTGATGTGGCATTATATTTCAAGGGTTTTTTTTTAATCATACCCTTTGCTGAATACTTGATTATTGTTTTAAAGACCTGGTTTAAAATGTATGGACAAAGATATTCATCTCAACCTCCTTCACAATTTTTTTTTTCAAAAAAAAGGAGGAGGGGGCAATTTTCCAAAATCTTACAAATGAGTAATGACATAAATTCAAATGTTGAAATATTAATTTTGCAGAATTTTTAGTGACATGGAAAATTTACCACACTAGAACACTAAGGGAAAAAAGAATTTCATGAATACATACAATTGTATTACAGTAAACTCCTCATTCTGCATAGACAGAGTTTCCAGCTAGACCTTAAGCCATGTTTACCCTTGGGATTGAGATATGTCTGGAAATGGCAAGTGGAATGATGGGATGAACCTGGTGGAATTATCCTGGGAGAGAAGTCATTATCTGGAGACAAGAGACCAGGAAGACAAGCTTAACCCAGACACAAAGCTTCATACACAGGCAGGGTGGGGTCATTCTGAGGAAGACAAGGTACCTATCCCTTAGTTCGTGGGGAGCTCAGAATATATCTGAGCCCACTTGGGCTGCTGTTCAGATTATCTGTTCCTGTATAACAAACTACCCCAAATTTTCATGACTTAAAACACCAATTTATTATTTTCATTCATGGCTCTCTGAGCTAACTCAGCAAGGCAGTTCTCACTCAGGATCTCTTAGGTGGCTGCTTGGGCTAGAGTCATCTGAGGGCTCTGTCTATCCAGGATGACACACTCACATGACTGCCAGTGGGTGCTGACTGTCCCTGCAGAGGGACTTTCAAAAGGAGTGCCGGCCAGGCGCAGTGGCTCACACCTGTAATCCCAGCACTTTGGGAGGCCAAGGTGGGCAGATCACTAGAGGTCAGGAATTCAAGACCAGCCTGGCCAACATAGTGAAGCACTGTCTCTACTAAAAATACAAAAAATGAGCCAGGCGTGGTGACAGGTGCCTGTAATCTCAGCTACTTGGAAGGCTGCAGCAGGAAAATGGCTTGAACCCAAAGGCGGAGGTTGCAGTGAGCCAAGATCACACCACTGCACATCAGCCTGGGCAACAAGAGTGGAACTCCATCTCAAAAGAAAAAGGAGTGCCTACACATGGCTATATGTGGACTCTCCATAGGAAGTGACCCAAGAATGAGCATTCCAAGAGACCCAGGAGGAATGGCAAGCCTTCTTACAACCTCACCTCAGAGAGCCTAGAACATCTTTTTGGATGCATCTTTTTGGATGCATCTTTTTGGTAAAGTAAGTCGCTAAGACCAGCCCAGAGTCAAAGCGTAGGGGATTCAATTCCATCTCCTGATGTGAGGAGCTACAAGCCCAAGCTTGGAGGGAAGAGCTGGCGAGGGGCAGCCCTCCCTTGAGACTATTTACCACAACCATTTTCTATAAAGAGCTCTGAAAACATTGCTACATAAGAAAAAAGCAGACCTGACTGTACCCCAAAGTACAAGGCAACAGAGGCTGAGACTCGCCGCTCTACAAGGGAGCCCAGCCTGGCTTTGCTGCCCTACAGAATCCAAAAAGCATAACTGTGTTTCTATACCCGGAGGAAGGCTCCAGGTAACTAGGAGGGGCAAGAGTACCCGGCAGCTGTAAGATATGACAGTGCCCAGTAGAAAAGGTTTCATGGTGGGCCTGACCACAACGGCAAAGCACATTCAGAGGTATGGAGGCCTCAGAGTAGACCTCACTGTAAGGACCACAGCTGTGAAAGTGAAGGAGATAGACAAGTAGCTCCAGGGTTCATCCGCGAAATCCCTTAGAACTTCCGGAAATAACTCAGCAGGCCTTTGTAAGAGGAGTTGGACAAGAGACCTATAATTCCACATAGAGATAAAAGCCAGCAAAATATAAATTATGACTATTAATATCACCTTCCCATTTTTTATGCCAGCTTGATGCAAACAGGTTACATGACTTAATATATGAACATATGTTTCTATGAACACAAATGTAAACATACACACCTATGCCCACACACACATAAATGTGCTTGGGGAAAGAATGGAAGAGGTGCATTACCATGTTAATTCTGCTGTCTCTGATGTCCTTGATATCAGGACAGTGTTTTTGACTCTTTATATATTTTCTGTATGTTCTCAATTCTCTATGATAAATATAGTGCTTATATAACTAGAAATAAGGATATTTTTTAAAGAAAAGTATACATCCTATCTTTAATGATGGTGCTTGTTCAAATGAGGTCATGAGGGAAGGTTTTCCCTGCCCCAGCCTAGGCTCTGAACACAGCAAGCTTGACAACCCAGGATATCTACAAGAGCTATGGACTCCACTGGGGCCCAGGAGCGCCATGAGCATAGCAGCTCAGTAGCCACTAGGTAAGGATGTTCAGAGTGATACCAGGTGAGCACCCACCAGCGTGTCCTCCCCAGGGTTACCATACTAGGCCATTAGAAGTTGTGTTGTGTTCACATATACATCACAGAAGTTATCCATCCATGTCAGAAAAGGAGGAAGAAGGAAGGCATTTCTCTTCCTAAAATGTGTGAGCTGGCTGTCTGCTAATTCTTGCTTTCTATCACTACCTGAAATAGACTGAATTGTGCCTCCCACCCCTGAATTCCTATGCTGAAGCCTTGATCATCCTTAAGGAGCAAGGTAGTAGAAAGATCAAAATTGGAGTTGGATATGGTGGAGGAAAACCTTTGAGAGAAAAGGCCATCCTCTACCAGCTACAATAAACCCTGGGACACTTCTCTGCCACTGAGGCTGGGAAGCCAGGGCAGTCAGCATGCCAAAGGCCCATGTATTAGCCAGCCATCAGGCCTGAGAAAGAGCTCTCAGTGCAGGGGTACTGAGAGTCTCTCCTCAGGCTGGCCACAGGCTCTCAGTTGGTTCAACGGCAATAGGAGAAAGATGACAAAATTCAGGTGCCCACCAGGAGCCAAGCACAATTTCCCTGTTAGAGAGCTGTATCCACCAGGAAAACCAAGTTCACGAACACATTAAAAAAATTCAAAAGAAAGGCTTTAGTAAAGGACTGGGGAGGTGTGGACAGAGATAAGGCAACGAATAAGAAATCAGTAAGACTGAAGATGTGACTGAATTCCTGCCATCTCATGATAAAATTTGAATGGATAAGGAGTTGAGTTGCTTTTTATGGAGGAGCAAAGTAAGCTGATTCTTGAGACGGACTGGACTCTTGGTAAAGATGCTGTGAACATTGTTGAAATACCGAAAAAGGACTGAAAATATAACACAAACTTAGTTGATAAAGGAGTAGCAGAGTTTGAGAAGACTGACTCCGATTTTGAAAGAAGTTCTATTGCAGGCAAAGTGCTATCAAGCAGCATTGCACGCTACAGAAAAATCTTCATGAAAGAAAGAATTGATCCATGTGGCAAACTCACCGTGGTCTTATTTTAAGAAATTTCCATAGCCAATCCAGCCTTCCCCTGTCACCACTGCGATCGGCAGGCCTTCAACATCAAGACAAGAGCCTCTTCCTGCTAAAGGCTGAGACGCTTCTTAGCATATTTAGCAGTAAAGTATTTTTAAATTAAAGTAAACAAACAAAAAAGAAATCATCAGACTACCACAGAAACCCAACACCACCCCGAGGGCTCAAGAAAGCGGGGCAGGTGAGAAGACAGGGAAGCCATGAAAACTGGGTTCCCATGTAGGAGGGCCCACACATGGATAAAAATGAATGAAATACTTCCAGAAGTGTGATGGGGAAGATAAGAAATAGCCCAGACCTCTTGCTTCCCACTCCCCAACCTACCAGTACTTTCCATGGGCCAAACACAATGAGAGGTCAGTCAGCAAGGAACCCCAGGTAATGCAATCAACCTTCCAGACACAGAGCACAGCCAAAGGGGGTCAAAAACTCTGCTGAGGCTGGTCCAAGTGCAATGGTGTTTACAGCGAATCGATCACAACCATTACAGATTCCTTTGTTTCTTCTCCACTCCCACTGCTTCTCTTGACAAGCCTTTAAAAAAATACTGATTTCGAAGCAAATGGGATATTACTCACATCCATAAGTATTATTATTATCCCAAGTTTATGGATAAGAAAAGTGAGGCAGAGAAGTTAGGTATTTGTTCTACATCATCTAAACACCCTGTTAAAGTTTCTAGAAGTCACCCAGACATGGCAAGTCTGTTTATTGTAACAGACAAGTCAACAGCATGGCAAGCACCAGCAGGCAAGTGTTATACATGATGAGAGCACACAGCCGGGGAACAGAACGATGCCAAAAATGACAGTGTTGGGAAGGAGGGGAGTTGACAGAGAGACTTCCCAGAAAAGATGATTCCTGAGCAGAGTCTTGAATGAATGTGAAATAGCAAAAAAGTTCAATTCAGTTCAGCCCTGTGCCTTTCTCTGCGGCTAACAAGCTAGAGATGGGGAGATGCATTCCTAGAAAATCTCTACGGACTACCTCTTTCTTCCTGTACCAGCTACGAGCACTTGTTGCACTCCAGGCACTCCTTCTCATCCATCTTTGCATCCCCAGAGCTAAGCTGTGAGAAATAAATGCCAGTATGATTCTATAAGAGGCAATGCTAAGGAATATTTAAGATTTCAGACTGCATCAAACCAACCTGGGCTTGTATCCTGAACCTACTACTTGTTTACCAATGGAGCAACTTTCTACGACTCTTTTTCTGAATCTACAAAAGGGGCATCCTGGTAGTAGAACCTACTTCACTGCAGTGTTGTGAGAATTAAATGAGGTAATGCATATAAAGACCTTAGCATCATAAATTATTATGATTGCTGTAATTATATGATTTTACTTATTAGCAATCATGATTTCTATAAGCTAATAGAAATTCCATAATCTAATAGAAATTCTAATAGAAGAAAGCAGTTCACCATACACAGTTGATGGAAGACTCCCCAGAAAAGTGAGTGTTTGAACTGGACCTTGAAAGATAAATCGGAGTCCTCCATGCAGAGGGAAGGAAGGCTTTCCAGGAAAAAAAAAAAAAGCATAGGCAAGGTCATGGAGGCCCTTCTTCCTATACCATCTATGAGAGTTTGACACATTCCAGGCACTTCAGCTCATCCATCTTTGCATCCCCAGAGCTAACCTGTGAGAAATAAATACCATTTTTATTCTACAGAAGGCAGTATTGGGAAGTGTTTAAGATTTCAGGCTCTGCTAGGGCCTTCAGTGTGACTGGGGTATATGATATAACAGTAAGAATGAAGAGGAAGTAGCAATAGGGCTCAAGCATAGCCAAGAGACATTCAAAACATCCAACCCATTTTTTAAAAAACCAATGCAAGCTTCCTCTCCTTCCAAAAGCCTTTCATGAGCATCTTATGATGCAGTAACCCTTATCTCTTCCAAATATCAATAGTGTCCTGGTTCCAAACCACTACTTAATTAAAAAAATATATATATAATTATCCTCAAGATTCTTTTGGGTGATTTTTTTCTCTCTAGCTTTCTAATTCTCATGTATTACTCCTGGCCAACAGTACCTGCTAGATCTTTAGGAGACTTTCGTATTGGTTAATTGGTTGATAACTCTTGATTGTTCTTCTTTTTTTCTCTGAACTAAGTAAAAAGAATAGCCCCTCTCAGTCAATGGTGAATGACTTATCAAAGCATTTCAAAGTGGCCTCTGCAGCTCCTAGTGGCCAAGCTCAAGACACGAGCCCGGCTGTTTCTATCTGTAACCCCCACTCAGCATTGTCCCCTGTCTTCCCTTCACTTCTCTAGACAGGGACACAGATGCCCTGTCTCTCTACCAGACTGACATCTAGTAGAAACCATGAAAATAACTAATATTATTTTCATTTTTATTGGCAACTGCTTCACTTTTAGGACCCCAAGACATCAATCAGTCCCATTTCTACAACAGAGGATTTTCTCACTTTTATTATTTTTAATCAAAGTAATGGAAGTGTGAGAAAGCTGTAGATTGTTCTTCCTCAGGAGATTTGCAAAAGTAGAAGAGTAGTCTCTGCTGGGAATTTGTTTCTGGGTGGCCTGGCCAAAACACAGGGAACAGGGGAACCGGAACTGTTGTTCTATGCCAGTCAATTCCATGATTCCAAGGAGAACCATCCTCTACCGACAATCATTTTAATAGAACTCACACAAGACTTCAGGTCAATTACATGACTGCCGGCATGAAGGAGAGCTAGCTTCTTCAACTGAAAATGGTTCCCCAACCTGGTGGTTCCTCAACGTCCCCACCAGAACGTTAAGTGCCTTGCCTTAAGTACTTCTTACAGTCAGACACATGTAGTTTTTCATCAGGAAAAGAACTGATTTGGAAAAGAACCGGCTGGAATTAGAGCATCTACAACAAAATTTCATTATTTACAAAACTCCATCACTGGACAGCTGTTTACTGAAGTTGAAACTTTCTGGGAAGTAAGAGTTCAAAGACAGACAACTATAAATATTCTTAATAGAATGGAAGAAATTATCTATTAATTTATTGATTTTTTTATTTATAAATTCGTAAGCATAGCATATTCTGAAAGAAATATTCTGTTGCCTATTCATAAAGCATCATTCTAGATTAGAATAGTCAATTTGGATTAACCTGGGTTAATTGAGCTCAGGGTTCCGGCTAGTCATACATTTCAGGATGCCATCTCCATCCCCGACTTTCCAGGATCCAGTCACAACATTCAGCGTTTTATATTGCAATCGCCTATTTTCCTATCTCTTTATTCCTGAGCAGACAGCAAGTATTATAGCCCCATTTAGGTCATCAGTGTGGACCTAGCACCTGTACAGTGCCTTGCACATAGTAGTTTTTTAGCAAATTTTGGCCAAATGGCAGAAGAAAAGAGATTTGAAGTATTTATTCATATATTTATTTATTCACTTATTCAATACCTAGCAATACCTGGAAAGAACTTTTATCTGGGGATTTTATAAACAGAACAAAAATAATACACTGAGAATGCTAATGTCACACATGAGGGGACTGGCTCTGCCAAGTCGGATGAGTCACAGACAGACCAGTGAAT